AGTCGCAGGAGCGTTCGAGGATCTAGATCTTCGATTCCTTCCTCCCTCCACGCTCCAGCGACTGCCTGAGCGAAGCTGGCCTTGAGTTCTGCCGCGGGGGTCAACAGAAACCCGGGAACCACACCCGCGGGACACCCCGCTGCTCAGAGAGCCTTCTCCTGCGCGACCAGAAGCCACGACCAGTTGCGAGCCCTACCCTTGCGGGTCCAATCGAGGCTGGGGCATCGGACGCCCCGCTGGGGTTCATTTGGCTGCAGACAGTTTCTTACTTCTGAACTCCAGCCCGCGTTTCAGAAATCTAACCTTCCAGAGTAGGTTTCTCTTGTGGTTGCCCACAGGAGCCGCCTGCTCATCGCCACCCTCTGCCTTTCAGGGCGCGCCGCGCTGGAGCCTGGCCGCGGCACGGCCATCGACCCCGTAGATTTGCAAACTACGCTCTGCGACTGTGGCCAGCAACGGACGTCGATGGCCTGTGGGAGTGCTGACTCCCCGAGGGATGCCGCACTGCTCCGAGCCATGGCTCTAGGAGGTCGTCTTTCATCCGCTAACAGGCGTGACCATGCGGGGAGGCAGGGAGGGAGAGGGCCGGTCACGTCACGAATCGTGCCGGCGCCGTTTTTGGGAATGCGTGAGAATTCGCAGTTTCCTAGACGGCGCTGGCGCGAATGGTGACGTGAGCAGGTTGGGTGGAGGGGGGGGGCGGGGGCGGTCACGGGCGTTCTCGCGCATGGTGACAAAGTGGCTTGTAGGATGACGTTCGCATGCTGATCTGATGCACCTTTGGTGAGCAAATGCCCATGCACCGGCAGGACTGTCCCCAGGGAGATCTTTGCCGCACTGAGACATGTGGAAGCGCAGCTGCTATGCATCGTCCCTCAATGGGGATGGGCACTTGCATCGACATCTGCTGGGCATCGATCCAGTCAGGGCCTCTTGAGGTCTTTTGGGGGCCTCCTGGAGGCATCTTGTGGCCTCTTGGAGGCATCTTGTGGGTCTCGTGGGGGCCTCCTGGAGGCATCTTGTGGCCTCTTGGGGGCGCCTCTGGCGACTCCGGGGGGATCTTAGGGCAATCTTGGGGTCAAGGGCTCCAACTGTCAGTTCGTGCCTCCCCTCTTGGGCCTCTTGGGCGCGTCGTGGAGTCCTACGGGGCCGTCTTGGGGCCCTCTTCTAGAAGCGTGGGGGCCAACATGGACGGAGCCCTCCATTGGTACCTAGAGGTCTGGAGGTCTCAGGAGGGCCTCTGGACCTTTCTCGAGGCCCGAGAAGAGCCCAAAGCTTGCAACACTGCAGAATGCAGCCCTCAATCCTCGATGAGGAGCAGCATGAGGGACAGGAAGAGGACGACGATGAGGATGACGTGGAGGAGGTGGATGAGGATCGAGGGGGAGGATCGTCGTCGTCGTCGACGGCGACGGCGACGGCGAAGACGAGGCCTCAACGGAAGGAGACGACGACGAGGACCGACGACTGCGACGAACACGGTGATCCAGAAGGCGCCCAAGACGGCGACAACGAGGACCGACGACAAGGACCGACGACCCTGACGACGGTGACCGAGCAGACTGGCCAGCGGGAGGCATGGCCGTGGCGGGAGACTGGGCGACCGCCGCCTTCGCGGCGACGCCGCCCGTGCCGCTGTTGTCGGCGCCGCGCCGCGTCCACCCTTGATGTGCTCGCGTCCCGTCACATCCCAGGAGGGTCTGCGCGCTGGGTGGCCGCGTAAGCCACCGCGTAAGGCCACTATGTCATCTCGCGTGAGACCCCTTTTTGATCGTCGCTCAGCCAACGATACACCCACGAGATTGCGAAAGCCTTCCGGTCGGTGCCGCCGACCCTGAGGGGTAACGACGACGACGACGACGACGACGACGACGACGGCGACGACGACGACGACGATGACGACGACGACGACGACCACGACCACGATCACGACCACGACCATGACCACGACCACGACCACGACCACGCTGGCGCCGACGTCGACGCCGACGCCAACGCTGACGCTGACGCCGACGCTGACGCCGACGCCGACGCTGACGCCGACGACGACGGCGACCACCACCGCGAGATTTATTCGCCCCCTCCAGCAGGAGCGCCTCGCGAGGTTCTGGCCAGCGCCATCGCCCCCCCCCACTTCAGGGGCAACGTTAGGGGGGCATTAGGTTCAGAGGGGGGACGCATTCCCCAATCGCCCATCGATCGCTGACAGCAGACTCATATCCCCCACCCCGCAGGCACCGTACTCACTCCTGCTGGGTGCTGCGTGCTTTCCCGCATCTTCGGAGCCGTCGGATCCGCTCCGAGGAGCCTCCAAGTGACCACGGAGCTTCCCAAGAAGTCCCCCTGGAGCCCGCCCAACAGAGCCCGACAGGCTCCCAGGCGAATCCCAGGGATGAGGACGAGGCGGAGGGAGGAGGGACGAGGATGACAAAGAGGAGGAGGAGGAGGATGAGGAGGAGGAGGAGGAGGAGGAGGATTCTGCTAGGATTCTGCTATCTAGAGCGCCCTCCCAAGGAAAGTTGCGAGGGTGCCTGCTCGCTCAGTGCAGCGCCTTCTGCGCGACATGTGAACGCATTGTGCTCTTATGTGCGGGGACCGTCAACTGACCATTCGGCGTTTGCTAAAGCCAATCGAAACCAAGAAACACAACTGATGAGAGCGCGCAGCAAAGCAATGAATGACCACAAACGTTGCGTATACACTCTACAAGAGCTCTGATCCTTGAGGACACCACCACACATGCAATATCAAACTGGCAGCGTTGACGTATGCAGCGTAAAATACCAGCCCCATTTGAAGCTGAGAACATGAACGTGCAAGCAAACTGAACCCAGCATATGAGACAGCAACGTCGCAAATGGATTGATAAAACATCCCACCAACATTGCCGACACAAAAAAACCGTAGTGGAGCTCGTAGACCAGCTGCCCCGCGTCTGCCTTGCTTGCCCCGTAGGGCCTGGGCCAGGTTCAGCCATGACAGCCGCAGCACTCCTTCACGGCGGACACGATGTCCCTCTTCCGCGATACCTTGTAGGTGGCGGCGCGCTCTCCTGGCATGGCAGGTCGGGCCCGAGCCTGCTGCCATGTGGGCCGCTAGCCTCGCCGAAGGGCCACAGCAAGCGAGTCCGTCATCAGCCGCCTAGCCCTGCTCCTGCGCGCAGTGCGCCCGGCCGAGCTGCTTGCTTGCACCCAGAAGTGGACGAGGAGGGGCAAGCGGAAGAGGAGGAAGAGAAACGGGGCCTGGTGCATCACACTCGCCGTGCTGCAAGTATCCTGCGCGCCTTCCCCTCTGCCGGGCACACCGTCGGCCGGCCTAGACCGCAGCAGAGGAGGTGCATGGAGCCCCAGGTGCCAGTGCCATTCCCAAGTTTGGCATCCTGACTCGGAAGGGCCGTGCGCGCGGGCCGCTTACGAGAGGAATGGCTGGGGAGGAGGAGGAGGAGCAGGAGGAGGGAGGAGGATTAGGAAGAGGAGGAGGAGGAGGAGGAGGAGGAGGAGGAGGAGGAGGAGGAGGGAGGAGGAGGGAGGAGGGAAGGAGGAGCGAGAATAGGAGGAGGAGGAGCAGGAGGAGGAGGAGGAGGAGAGGAGGAGGAGGAGGAGGATGGGAAGGAGAGGAGGGAGGAGGAGGAGGAGGAGGAGGAGGAGGAGGAGGAGGAGGAAGGGAGGAGGAGGAGGGAGGAGGGGACGGTAGTCGGGGGGATGGCAAAGAAAGGATGATGGGGTAGTAGGAGGAGGAGGAGGAGGAGGAGGAGGAGGAGGAGGAGGAGGAGGAGAAGGAGGAGGGGAGGAGGAGGAGGAGAGGAGGAGGAGGAGGAGGAGGAGGAGGAGGAGGGGGGGAGGGGGAGGGGAGGAGGAGGAGGAGGAGAAGGAGAAGCAGGAGAAGGAGGAGGAGGAGAGGAGCAGGAGGAGGAGGAGGAGGAGGGAGAGGGAGGAGGATGGGGGAGGAGGAGGAGGAGAGGAGGAGGAGGAGGAGGAGAGGGGAGGAGGAGGAGGAGGAGGAGAAGGGACGAGGAGGAGGCGGAGGGAGGAGGAGGAGGGAGGAGGAGGAGGAGGAGGAGGGAGGGAGGAGGCGGAGAGGAGGAGGAGGCGAGAGGAGCATGAGGAGGAGGAGGAGGAGGAGGGGAGGAGGAGGGGGAGGAGGAGGAGGAGGAGAAGGAGGAGGAGAGGAGGAGGAGAGGAGGAGGGAGGAGGATTAGGAGAGGGAGAGGAAGGAGGAGGAGGAGGAGGAGCGCGGAGGGAGGAGGGAGGGAGGAGGAGGGGAGGATTAGGAGGAGGAGGGGAGGGGGAGGATGGTAGAGGAGAGGGGAGGAGGAGGAGGAGGAGGAGGAGGAGGAGGAGGAGGAGGGTCGCGGGGTCAGAGCCGGGGGCGGCCCTCGGGCGGGCCTCGGCGCTCCCCGCGAGGAACCCCCTCGGGCGGATGCGCCCCCATCGCGAGCCAAGGGGGGAACACGCCGTCAGGGCGGAGGGCGAGAGGGAGGAGAGGGAGGAGGAGGGGAAGGGAGGAGGAGGAGAAGGAGGAGGAGGAGGAGGAGGAAGAACTTCGGGCACCTCGGGGGGCGGCCAGGAGGGGGGCGTCCAGGAGGGGGGGCGAGCGAGGGGGGGGGACGTGGGAAGGAGAGGGCACGTGCGCGGCCCAGGGGGGGGGGCGTGTTGAGATGAGAAGGGGCGCCCACGAAGCCTGGGGAGATCTCGTGGCCCCCGCCAGGATGTCCCCTGGCGAGGGCCCCCGGGGGCCGAAGACGGACAAACACCGCGTGCTCCAATTTTTCTTGTTCGAAGCGTCGGCTCTCCAAGTATAGACGAGCGCGTTCCGCTACCCGCACAGTAGTTACTCGCAATTGGCCTGGATCCGCCGCGGGAAATCTACGATACATTGCAGCGAAGCGCACATTGCGCTTCTGGGACGCGAGTAGGCACTCTGCGAGTAGTGGAACGCGCACGGTGAAGGTCGCATCCTGCTTGCCGGCAAGGGTCTCGTCCGACCCCCCCGCCGCCAGCGACCAGCACGAGGTAGAACGCGCCCACGCCCTCCGCCAACGCGCGGCAAGCCGCGGCAGGGGCCTCCGGCCAAACCGCCGTCGCCGTCGCCGTCGTCACTCTCGTCGTTCCCGTTGTCGCCGCCGCCGACGCCGTCGTCGCCGTCGTCGTCGTCGCCGACGCCGACGCCGACTCCGACGCCGGCGCGTCGTCGTCGTCGCCGTCGCCGTCGCCGTCGGTCGCCGCCGCCGTCCTTGTCGCCGTCGTCGTCGTCGTCGTCGTCGTCGTCGTCGTCTTCGACGTCGTCGACGTCGTCTTCGTCGCTCGCGTCGTTCCAGCCACCGTCGTCGTCGTCGTCGTGGAGAAGCGAACTCAATAACAGTTTCTCTACATGCTGTATCTCCAGGTCGCTTTTGGTCGCCATGGCTGGGCCGCCCTTCTGATCCTGGCTGCAGAACAACCTGGAAGAGGCCCAGTTTCGGCCTTCGGGAGGAGGAAGACACACATCCAAACCTTCTGCACATTGATGTTTCGATGCTGGTGTTTTATTCAGTTTCGGTGTGCGGATGCCGTTTCCGGGCCCTTGGACTACCAGCATAGACGATCAGGGATCAGAAAACTGTCCTCAGGAAACGAGCATCGAGAACTCTGGGGGTGATGGAATGAGAAAAACCATCCGCCGGATGTCTGTGGAGAGGCCCCATCCGCCTTGTGCCCTCCCTTGAGGGATAGGGCACGGGACCTTGACATCCAGAATCGCGAACATAAAATACGACTGGCGTGTTTCGCCATTCCGGCAACCAGAGCCCAGAGGCTGGCGAGAGACTAAGGCTTAGCAGGTGGCCTTTTGGACCACGGGAGCCAAGAGCCTCTTGTTGACTACCTACCAAACCACGCCAACCCAACCCGAAGACTCGAATTCCAACCGAATTTCGGGTTGGGGGTATCGGTTCCATGTTTTTTTTTTTCAAATGTTCCCCGCCCCCCCCCCACTGGAAATGGAGGGCAAATTGAGGCCTTCGGGCTGGGTTGGGGTGGTTTCGTGGGTGGCGACTTCTGGACCTTTGAAGGCTTTGCCGCAGCACTCCAGCAGGCGACGCAGGGCGCAGCGCAGTAGGCCCCACCCATCGCGCGGGGCCTGCCTGGCCCGGCCCGCGGGAAAAGACATCCGCTGACCACGCAGACTGCTGCTGCCTGGGTGAGGACGACAAGCCCTGGCACTGGCACCCCCTAAGCGCTGCCGCTAAGGACCATTCGAGAGGCACTGATACGTCCCAGGGCTCAACGGTTTGGGGATCCTAGCTCTGGCCGTCTTGGCCAGTTTGATCAGCAGGCCTTTTCCAACATCTTACATATCCTCCTCCACTCCTCCACTACCTCTCCACTCCTCCCCCCACCCCACATTTTGCTGATCCTCCTCCTACTAGCGCCTTCGTCCTGCCTCGTCCGCCCCTCCCTCGTCCCTCCCCCTCTTACCTCCTCGCCCTCAGCCGCCTCCAGGTTCCTTCACCCGCCATCCCCCCTCCTCCTCATCCCCTGCCCTCCTCCTCCTCCACCTCCTCCTCCTACCTCGTTCTTCTCCATCCGTTCTGACCTCCTACATCCTTCCTCCTCGTCCCTACTTAGCCTTCTTATTATGCAGAATGTTTTAATTCTTATTCTGAATATTATCAACCGAGTGCGGGCGATAATAAAATCAACCCCTCCCCCCCTTAAGGCCATATATTTTTAGTAGCCCCGTTCAACAGGATTTAATCGTGGAGAAGGGCGCGGAGGCCGAACTTTCTAATCCACGGGGGAAGTGGCGAATCGAAGTTGCTATCATCTCATGTTGACTAGCAACAGCATCAAACACGCTGAGCATGGACATGGCGGTCTCACCATATCAGCTTCCGCAATCACGAGCGTGTGGCAGGGCTGTGGGATTCTCACCAGATGAAAGAAGTCCAGCGCAAGAGAGGCTTCTTGGCCAGAACGGCCAAGGACCTCTCTTGCGCCTGCAAGTCTCGAGACAGTCTTGTGCCGAGCGCGCAAGATCACCACCATCATGATCATCGTCATCATCATCATCAGCACAACTGACCTTCCCCGGGAAAATCCATCAGTATCCCCGCCAGACCCCCGAACTTCATTATCCCCCGGTGATTATTATCGCCCGCGGTCTGTCAGTCTTCTGCTTCTTCTTCGCACAGACACGGAGATGAGCGTATGAGGTTCCCACGCATGTATACACCAGCGGTAAAAAAAGGCGGCCAGGCAAGATGCGGGGCCAAGAGAAGCAACACTGGCGTACATCAGCTCCAGTGAGTCAAGTCGGGGGGAAGGCGCTGCCCCCGTGCCGCGAGAGGCTGGGGATCGGGGCTTAACTGGGCGCTTCCCCCCAATCCAGCCTCCCTGCTCGCTCATCGCCATTCGGCCCTCCTGCATGCCTCCTCCTCCTCCTCCTCCTCCTCCTCCTCCGCCTCCTCCCCCTCCCCATACCTCCCACCTCCTTCCCCGTCCTGTCCCGACACCCCCCCTCCCCCTCGCCCCTCACTCCTCCCTCCCTCCTCCTGCCTGATCGCTCCTCGCTCCCTCCTCCTCCTCCTCCTCCTCCTCCTCCTCCTCCTCCTCCTCCTCCTCCTCCTCCTCCTCCTACTACCCCATCCATCCTTTGCCATCCCCCCGACTACCGTCCCAGCTTCTCCCCCTGTCGTCCTCCGAGTCCTGCTCTTCTCTTCCTGGTCCTCCAGCTTGCGCTCCCGCCCTGTTCCCACACCCCTCCACGCATTCCTCCTCATCCTCCCACGGTGAAGAACATCTGCACAGATTGCCGCCCTGCTTCTCGGGACGGGAGGCTGGGGAAAAAACTCGGGTCGTTGATGCTTGGGGTCTGGAGAGTGCTTAGCTCGCAGCGCCGAGGCGTTGTGGGACAGAATAGGCGGCGCGACATGCTACGGTCGGGAACTGTTGCTTAGCGTGTAGCGGCGGCGGTCCTGGCGAGACGTTGTGCCTGGCAAGCGGATAGCGTGTCGCTCCGCTCCGCGGGAGGCTCGGGAAAGCTCGGGGTGTTGACGCTTTGGGTCTGGGAAGTGGACAGCGTGTCGCGCCGAAGCGTGGCGGTCAAGAACCGGCGGAGCGACACGCTATCCAAAAGTTCCCGAGCCGCTCTTCCCCGTCCTCCCCCCTCCTCAACTTCCCCCTCTCTCAGCATCACCCCTCCTGGCTTCTACCTCCATCCTCCTCCCTTTTGCTCCTCCTCCTCCTCCTCCTCCTCCTCCTCTCTTCCTCCTCGTTCCTCTCTTCCATCCTCAGTTCTCCAGGTGCGCCCTCGAGACTCCCATCCCACAACTTCGCCATCCCATTGCCCCTTTCCACGCCTCGCATCCCATTGCCCCCTTCTGCAGTTTGCATTCATCGTTCCATGCACTTGTCCGTCGTCCCTCCTGTCTCCTCCCTCCACCACCCTAAATCAACTCCTACTCCCACCTGTGCGTGCGAGGAATCAATCGTCCGATCGAACGGCGAATGGGACCCCCAACAAGAGAACATGGAGTACATGGGTTTTCGATGGTGTTTCGATGGTGTTTCGATGGTTGGGTTGCTCCGGCGACCTACCTCTACCTCACCAGTGCTGCATGGCTATGTCTGCACGAGATCACACTTCTGACCTGCACCATGATATGCTAGGCCCCCATCCCGCGATCCTGCTCACCACTCTGGCACGCCTGGAAGACAACGGCCGCGATAACCGCCTCCCACTCTCATGAGCGCCGTCTTCGTGTGAGAGTTATTCTCTTGCACAGGGTGTCTAGAGCTCCGACCACTTTATTTCGGCACCCCCCCCCCCCTCCCATCATAATCACCATCATCATCATCATCATCATCATCATCATCATCATCATCATCCACATCATCATCATCATCATGCGCCCCCTCCGTCTCAGCGCCCTTTATTTCGGCACCGCACCCCCCACTCCCATCATAATCACCATCATCATCATCATCATCATCATCATCATCATCATCATCATCATCATCATCATCATCATCCACATCATCATCATCATCATCATCATGCGCCCCCTCCGTCTCAGCGCCCTCCCGCGGCTCCAGCGCCCGCCCAGTGCCCCCTCCGCCCCGACCACTTTATTTCGGCACCGCACCCCCCCCGCTCCGCCCCCTCCCCCGCGCCGTCTCAGCGCCCCCGCGGCTCCAGCGCCCGCCCAGCGCTCCCTCCGCCCCGACCATTTTATTTCGGCACCGCACCCCCCCCCCGCTCCGCCCCCTCCCCCGCGCCGTCTCAGCGCCCCCCCGCGGCTCCAGCGCCCGCCCAGCGCCCCCTCCGCCCCGACCACTTTATGTTCGGCACCGCCCCCCCCCCCGCTCCGCCCCCTCCCCCGCGCCGCCTCAGCGCCCCCCCGCGCTCTAGCGCCCGCCCAATGCCCCCTCCGCCCCGACCACTTTATTCGCCGCCCCTCTCCACTCCGCCCACCGTCTCCTCGCGCCGTCTCACGCCCCCCCCGCGCTCCAGCGCCCGCCCCAGTGCCCCCTCCGCCCCCGACCAACTTTATTCGGCACCGCACCCTCCCTCCCCGCTCCGCCCCCTCCCCAGCGCCGTCTCAGCGCCGCCCCGCGGCTCCAGCGCCCGCCCAGTGCCCCCTCCGCCCCGACCGCTTTATTTCGGCACCGCACCCCCCCCCCCCGCTCCGCCCCCTCCCCCGCGCCGTCTCATCGCCCCCCCGCGGCTCCAGCGCCCGCCCAGCGCCCCCTCCGCCCCGACCACTTTATTTCGGCACCGCACCCCCTCCCCCGCTCCGCCCCCTCCCCCGCGCCGTCTCAGCGCCCCCCCCGCGGCTCCGGCGCCCGCCCAGTGCCCCCTCCGCCCCGACCATTTTATTTCGGCACCGCACCCCCCCCCTCCCCGCTCCGCCTCCTCCCCCGCGCCGTCTCAGCGCCCCCCCGCGGTTCCAGCGCCCGCCCAGTGCCCCCTCCGCCCCGACCATTTTATTCTCTTGCACGCACCCCCCCCCCCCGCTCCGCCGCCTCCCCCGCACCGTCGAGCGCTCCCCCGCGGCTCGAGCGCCCGCCCAGTGCCCCCTCCGCCCCGACAACCCCCCCATCCTCCGCCCCCTCCCCCACACGTCTCAGCGCTGCCCACGGCTCCAGCGCTCGCCCAGCGCCCCCTCCGCCCCGCCCACTTTATTTCGGCACCGCAGCCCCTCCCTGCTCCGCCCCTTCCCGGACACCGTCTCAGCGCCCCCACGGTTCCAGCGCCCGTCCAGTGCCCCGCGGCCCCAGTGCCCGGCCAATGTCTTTCCTGCCCCGGTGCGCCCCTTTCGCCCCTTCCCCCCAGTGTTCCCCGCGGCCTCAGCGGGGCCTTCTCCGTATGGTTTCCTTCCGCCCCGCCCATCTTCTTTCCGCCCTCGCGAAGTAACACACGAGCGCCACAAAACGCTTAGGACATCGGGGATCCGGGTCATTACGAAATTGCAATTCTGGTTGCAGCAGCAACAAGAAACTGGGGATCCGGGATTCGCCCTCTGGAGCCCCTCTTGCGGCCTTGTTTTGTTCACTCCTTCTGCGATGTCTGGCATCCTCTCCCCCCCCTCCTCCTCCACATCCTCCTCCTCCCCCTTCCTTTTTGTGCAAGAGCCATGGCACACGTGCCACTTGTTTCCTGTGCCATGTCCTGAACCCCTGGCCTCTGATTGCCGTAGTCTCGTTTTGCCAGGCTCATTTCGAAGGGCAGGGAACGGACGAGCGGACAAGCGGGCTGCAGTGCGCGCCAGGTCGCCAAGGAACGACGCGCAAGGAAACTCAGCAGCGCGATGGAACAGAGCTGCAGAGGCGAGGAGTAGCTCTGTTCTTACCCCTGAAAGGCAGACCCCAACTTGTCCTAAACCATGGGTCCGTAGAAGCCACTCCGCTGGGCATGTGGGGCTACGACGCTGGGCCTCGGATGGGGAGGAGTAGGACACTCCGGAGCCAATGCCCACTGACAGGGGAACGAAACATGCCATACACATACAAACTCTGAGATCCGCGCGGATTTCTTGGATCCGCGCTGGACCCCCCTCCCTGGAGCGCGGATCGCGCCAGGGGCGGCGCCGGAGGCGCTGCCAGGGGGCCCCAGCGCCGATCCGAGAAATCCGCGCGGACCGAGGGGTATAAACTGTCCAGCCGCCCAGGGGCAGGCGTCCCCGACGGCGGAAAAGTTTATGTTACACCGTGCTTCGCCCGCTGACCGATGCGCGGCACGGGACACGTGGCGTATTGATACGGAGCTCCACACGTAGACCGCACGCGCAGGTCTGACGCGATGCGTCCGCCAAAACGCGGGCCAATACCAGAAGAAGAAAACACACCATAAACAGAAGCTTTTGGCGCTCCGCGCGGATTTCCTGGATCTGCGCTGGACCCCCCTCCCTGGCGCGCGGAGGCGCCGCCGGGGGGGGCCCAGCGCGGATCCGAGAAGTCCGCGCGGGGCGCCAAAGGCTTTCTGTTCATGGCGTGTTTTTGTGCTTCTTGGACAGACGCCGAGCCAGCACGCAGCGTCCTGCCGCGGGCGCTTCCAGCACGGCACGCGCTGCGCTTCCCAAGCGGGCGCAGCGAGGCCGCGGCGGGGTCGGCCACGACGAGCACCCGCCCCGCTTGCACCCGACTAGATGGGCCGAGGCCCTCGCCGCACCGCGCCCCGCGAGGCGCGCGCGCGGCCCTCTGCCCTCGCGCCCTCGCGCCCCCGGAGAAGCGAGATCAGGAAGCAGCAACGCCCTCAAGAGAAACTCCTGTAGACAAGCGCGTTCGACTACTCGCAAACGTAACTACTCGCAAATGGCCTGGATCCGCCGCGGGGGAAGTACGACAGATTACGTCGGAGCAAGCAACTGTTTTTTTCCTCGGACGTTTGCGGGCAGGAATTTTTGCGAGTAGTGGAGCGCGCTCAATGATTTCGGCGCTCCGCGCGAGTTTCTTGGATCTGCGCTGCACCCCCCTTCCCTGGCGCGCGGAGCTGGCCAGCGCGGATCCAGGAGGTCCGCGCCGGGCGCCAAAGGCTTGTGTTTGTGGCGTCCTTGCTTTCTTCTTCTCTCGGCGGTGGACAAACCTCCCTTTAGTAGACCTCCCCTTAGTGACAACGGCCTGGGACCGAAACCGACGGACCTGGACCCGCAAAAATGACGGCCGCGACGCCCTCTCGCGAACCGAAAACGGCCGATTCCTCAATCGACGTGTCAGGGTAGGAGGTCTGTCCACCCCCGACTCTCCTCCTTCGAAGGAGGCCGCTCCGGCCAAGGCCGCGGCGCGCGAAGCGCAGGCGAAGCCCGAATCGAGTCGACAAGCCGGAGGGGCGATCGCCTCGGATCCCGATCCGCGGGGATCGGCAGCCGAATGGGAAGCAGTCGGATCGGCGGAGATCTGCATGCCTCCATATCGAGAACACTCGGAACCCACATCGGAATCCGACGTCGACGAGTCGGCAAAGTCGGAGGGGCGATCGCCACGGATCCCGATCCGCGGGGATCGGCAGCCGAGAGGGAAGCCGTCGGATCGGCGGAGACCGGCAGGGCGGTGGGCCTCCACGTCGAGAACGCTCGGAGCCCACATCGGAATCCGACGTCGACTCGAGTTTTGGGATCGGGGCCCGTCGGAAGCGAACCGCATCGCATCGGAGGACTCGGCATGAGCCTTGCGTTGCTCCCCTCGTACGTAGGACCACATCCCAGAAATGACTTCGAGCACCCCCGAGAAGTGTCGACACGGTGTCGAAACAGTGCGGGACGAGTGTCTGCCAGGGCCCGACACGTGGAAACCTTCGAGTTTCGGTCATTTTTTCTGGTGCTCGCAATTCTTTCTGGCGATCCAGGCTAAAGTAGGTTGGAACATCATGACACGAGCCCCGGCGCAGCGCGAGGATCCTCGCGCCCCTTTGGCGGCGCCGCTGGCACGCGGAGGCGCCCGCGACCCAGCAGGAATCCGAAGTCGACTCGAATTTGTCGGATCGGGATCCGTCGAGAGCGAACCGCATCGAATCGAAGGAATCTTAACGGGCGAAGAACGGTATAAAGGACACGTTTTCGCTGTCGGGGGCGCCTGTCCCAGGGCGGCTGGAAAGTTTATACCCTTACGGTGGCACCGTTAGGGATATATAAACTTCCCAGCCGCCCTGGGACAGGCGCCCCCGACAGCGAAAAAGTTTATTTTATACCGTTCTTCGCCCGTTAAGAATCGACGCGAGCCCTGGCGGAGCGCGGTGACCCGCAGGCGGAGCTCGGCGCCCGCAGAGGCCGGAGGCAGCCCCCGCGGCCCCCGCCCCCGAGAGAGCAAGGCCCCTTTCTGGGCGGCGCCGCACGGGCGGCACGCCGCCTCTTCCCGCGCTCTTGACGCACTGGCAGGCGGTGCTCCTCCTCCCCCCTCCCCTCCTCCTTCCTCCTCCTCCCTCCTCCTCCTCCTCCTCCCTCCTCCTCCCCTCCCCTCCTCCCCCTCCCCCCCTCCTCCTCCTCCTCCTCCTCCCCCTCCTGCTCCTCCTCCTCCTCCTCTCCTCCTCCTCCTCCTCTTCCCTCCTCCCCCTCCATTTCCTCCTCCTCCTCCTCCATCTTCTTTTTCTTCTTGTTATTATTATTATTAGTATTATTGTTATTATTATTAATATTACTGTTATTAGAATTATTTTTATTACTATTATTACTACTATTATCATTATTATTACTATTATTTTTATTACTATTATGATTATTATTAGTATTATTATTATTACTACTAGTATTATTATTATACTTATTATTATTATTATTAGTACTACTATTATTATTATTATTATTATTATCATTATTATTATTATGCTTCCCATTCTCCTCCTCCTCCTCCTTCCCCTCCTCCTGCGGCTCCTTGCCGGAGGGGCGCGAGAAGGGCCGGCGAGCCAGGCACGGTCGCGCGCCGACCGGAGCGCAAGCCAGGGGGGCGCAGCTCCGATGAGGCGCCCGCCAAAGGGCGGGGGCGCGCAAGCATGGACTAGCGATCCATGGATTTGGCGCGCGGTCGCCAACTCCAGGGATCGGGGGAGGTACCCTCCCCAAAACAAATGCGGCCGGGGCCGCCTCGCTCGGCGGCGGGCATCCGCGAGGATCGTCGCACCCCTTGGGGTGCCGCCTGCACGCGGAGGCGCCCGCGACCCACACATCGGAATCCGACGTCGACTCGAGCTGGGATCGGGGTCCCTCGAGAGCACGCCGAATCGCCTCGGAGGAATCGACACGAGCCCCCGGCGCAGCGCGAGGATCCTCGCGCCCCTTCGGCGGCGCCGCTGGCACACGAGCCCGGCGCCCGCGCGAGCCCCGCAGGAGGAGCTCGGCGCCCGCAGAGGCCGGAGCCCCCGGGGCAGTGCTGCACGGGCGGCGCGCCGCCCTCCCTTAACGGGCGAAGAACGATATAAAATAAACTTTTTCGCTGTCGGGGGCGCCGTAGGGGTATAAACTTACGGTGGCACCGTAGGGGTATAAACTTTGAAGCCGCCCAGGGACAGGCGCCCCCGACAGCGAAGAAGTTTATTTTATACCGTTCTTCGCTCGCTGACTCCCCGCGCTCTCGGCGCCCTGGCTCGTCGGCCTGCCGGGCAGACGGTGCTCTGGGCGGGAGGGAAAGTCGGCGGCGGGGGGGGGGGGGGAGACTCTCTCGCTCTCGGAGGCTGGGAGCGGGAGGCATGTGCTTCCACAGCTGGCGCCCACACGCTGATGCCACCGTGCGCCGAAGCCAAACTCGAAGGGCCTCGGGATGAGGCCTGCGAGGCACGGCACGAGCGGGAAAACGGCTGCATGTGTCGGGGGCGCGCAAACATGGATCAGCGATCCGTGGCTTTGGTGCGCGGTCGCCAAACCCAAGGATCGGGGGAGGTGCCCTCCCCCAAAATAAATGCGTCCGGTGCCGCCTCGCTCGGCGGCGGGAAGCCGCGACCTTCCACAGAAACGGGGCCCGTCGCTAATCCATGCCCCTGTGATCCATGTTTGCGATCGCCTGATCTTAGCTGGAGTTATGATGCTCCAACTCACTTTAGCCTTGATCACAAGAACAATAATTCCGAGCGCCAAGAAAACACCCCAAAACTTGAGGGTTTTCACGTGTCGGGCCCTGGGAGACACTCTTTCGACACTCTTTCGACACTGTGTCGACACTCTTTTGACACTTTTCTGGGTGCTCGAAATTATTTCTGGGATGTGGTCCTTACGTAGGATGGAAACGACATAAAGCTGGAGGGGAAGTCGGCGGCGAGCAAGGGGGGATGAGGCGAGACAGGAGAAGGCCTCCCCAGGAGAGGCGGCGGGGCTGCTCAGAAACGCCCCGGCCCCGCGAGAGGCTTTCTGTGCCTTCGGGGCCCAAACAAGCAAACATCGTCCAAGTTCCAAAGTAAAACGTACATTTCTGGAAGAGACGACGCGCGGAGGTTCACAGCGTCCAAGACTGCCCAGAAGGCTGGGGAACTTTGGAGCCCTCTGACAAGGCCCGCCCCGTCTCCCTTCCCCCCTGGGCTCGCCGCGGAGAAAGATCAGACACCGATGACCACGACCACGACTGAGCGCGGCAACGTCAGTGCCGATCTTGGCCATCGCCCATCTTGGTCGTGGTCGATTCGTAGATCATCCTCGCGACCCGGCGACGACCCGCATGGACCGAGCCCAAGATTTTGGCAGCGCGCGCAAGGGGTGAGGGGGAGGGGGGAAGACTGCTTTGAAATCGGCTGCTTCGTAGAAGGCGCGGGCCTTCTGTAGATGAGGCCAGCGCCTTCTAAGAAGCAGGGTGCTTCCAAGAAGCCTGTCCCCCTTCCCCTACCCTCCTCTGCGCATGGCCGACTTTTGCCGGCGGCTCGGCCGCGGGCAGGGCCAGAAGCTGCCGGAACTCCCACGTCTCCGGGCGCGCCAGAGTTCGCATGGCGTCCAGCTGCAGAAAGGCTTCTGCTGGCGTCCCCTGACAACCCGCCCCCATTCGAGGCCTAGAAATTGGCACCAACACCAACACAAGGCGTTGCCCCCACAGGGGGAAGATGATCCTAGATTTCGGTGCTGGTGGTAATATTTCGGCCACCTTGGCAGCCAGAATATTACCACCATCACCGAGATCGGGATCGTCTCCCCTCGGTGGAGGCACACCGCCGATCTTGGTGTTGGTGTCAACCTCTAGGCCTGCGACCCCACTCTCTTTCCCCTGGCCCTGGCAGGGGCAATCGCCAGGCTGCGGCGCTTCCGGAGGGGAAAGGGAGGAGGAGGGCGTTCTTCCTTCCGAGTGCATGGCGCCCACGACGCTGTCCCTGTCGAGCTGGCACACGGGATGGCTTTCTCCCAGCCAGTGCTGGAACCACAGAAGGCCGCCTGGCCCAGACACGGGCGTGCCTCACTCCTGGCGAGGGGGCAGTGCCGAATCCATCTCTCGACAGCACCTGCTCGCACTACTGCTGCCAACTTGACCCGTTGTCTTCCCGACCTCTCCTCTTCGGCATGCTCTCGGACGGCCCCGCGGGGTCAGCAGCTGCGAGTGGCACGGCGAGCGGCAAGGCTCTGCATCTTCCCACATCCCCCGGGGCCCCGATCAAGTCAAGCAGGACGAAGACAACGCCAGCGGAGCTTCCGCTGCGCCAGTACATTCCAGCGGTCGCCCAGCCTGCCCCAGCACTTCTCCTACCTCGTCCCTTTCTGCCTGGATCGCTGTCTCTCTCTCTCTCTCACTCCCTCTCTCTCGCATCACCGTCTGTCTGTTTGGTTGCGGCTCTCATGCAGTCGTAGGTATATGTATAGCTGTAGACGTGCGTACACACATATTTTTATATATATATATAATGTGTGTAGATGTGTGTGGCCCTATCTCCCTCTCCCCCTGTGTGGATTCCCCGGTTTTGACGGGCTTCTTCAACAAAGCCATGCGCATTCTCTGGAGGATCACTCGATCAAACTGGAAGCTACGAGAGCTCATGACACCAAACAACATGCAGGCAAATATGAATATTCCGCTGGCAGTGGCTCGCAACACAGAACACACGCGCTATATACGCAATTGATTAGGCAACTGACGTCCTCTGGTTCAACGGTCGTAATCATGTTCTGCGCTGGGTTGTAAACCTGCAGCCTGCACAATCGCCATCGGCGTCTCCATCATCTTTGTTCGGGCCTCTGTCATTTTGCTGAGGACGGCATGCTGCATGCCAACCGCCTCACGCCCTGCCTAAATGTACGGCAGGGTTGAGCACACTGTCGTTGATGTGACCACCTCGGGCCAACTACGCAAATACAGCGAAGAAATCAACACCCGCAAACAAACATCAGCAACCGCATGCAAATGAATGCGCGGCGGCCATGGCAAACATGCGTGAATACATACCAGCATTCCGGCGTCTTCGGCGGTCGGAGAGAAAGGCGAACGCGGGGAACGCGAAGGTCTCCAGCCCATCGGGAGCCCAGACCGGGCCGAAATCTGGCGCGTTACCCCCCCTCCGAAACGCCGGTCCCAACACCTTGCAGACGGCGAAGATCGACCATCGGGTGGTCGCAAGGCGGGTGGGTCAATATAAACGTTGGGGGGAAGATGGACGTGCACCTTTCGTGCACCTTTTGAGCCCGCGGTGACCCCTGAGATCCGACGTCGCGAACCAAAATGCAACATCGCGAGAAATCGCGACCGAAGTCCTAGACACCATCGTCCTGCCTCATTTTCGAGCTGGAGTAGATGGGATCAGAGGATCGCGCCGCATCGCCGATACATCGGCGATGCATCGGCGATGCATCGCCGATGCACAGGCGATACATCGTCGACGTGGCGATGCATTGGCGACGTCGACGTGAAGCAAAACGGGCTGCACACCAAGCCGCATCGCTCAGACGTCCTCCGGCCCTCTGAGAAGTGTCCTAAGCCTTCCCCGAAAACAAGAAATAACTTCTCAGAAGAAGCGAGGGCTTCTGAGACGCCCCGACGCCTTCCCAAAAGGCCTTCTCCTTCTTTGCCTGACCCCCTTCGCTCGCCGCCGATCCTCATCCTCCTCCTCCTCCCTTTTCCTCCTCCTCCTCCTCCTCCTCCTCCTCCTCCTCCTCCTCCTCCCTCTCCTCCTCCTCCTCCTCCTCCTCCTCCTCCTCCTCCTCCTCCTCCTCTCCTCCTCCTGTAGCGTGGCCAATCCTCCTCCTCCTCCTCCTCCTCCTCCTCCTCCTCCTCCTCCTCCTCCTCCTCCGATCCCCCCGCGCTTGTTGTGCCCCCGGCTGTCGTCCGCCCCAGGCCACCCATCATGTCCGCCGCGGATCCCTGCCGCCTAGGCCCGCGGGTCACATGCGGGCGCCGTCTGGCTGAGGTCTGCGGCGCTCCAACGGCCTCGGGGCAGGAGAGCCCGGAATCGAATCGATAAGTCGGATCGGCGATCGAAATGACTCGGATCGGCAGAAATCGGCAGCCAAGTCGGGCGGAGTGTAATCGGCAGGAATCGGCAGGCCAGTAGGCCTCCATGGAAGAATCGGCATCCGAATCGGAATCCTAAGGCGAATCGAATCGGACTCGGAAGCCATCAAACTCGAATCGAATCGGATCGGAGGATTCGAGATGAGCACTGCCAGGCCCCCCAGTAGGCCACGACACTGCTGACCATAACTTGAATAAACATCCCGCCTGAAGAGAACGAAGTGAACGTTTTTTTGTTAGCGTTTCGACCTTGGGCGAAAGGGCGGGGGGTCTAGCTCTGGACCTCTGCTGAATGCGACTGTTTGCAGCAGCACGTCCTACGGGGGAAGGGTTCCACCTGCATGAAACAGGCGCCACAAACAGCCCAGATCCACTCCATGGGGGGGGAGGGGGGGTGCGAGGGCCCGCGCCGATCGGCAAAACAATGAATAAGAAATTGATCACCTGCGTGAAGCAGGCGCCACAAACAGCCAAGATCCACTACATGGGGGGGGGCAGGGGAGGGCGAGGACCCGCGCCGATCGTCAAGACAACTCGTAAGAGAACGATCTCCTGTAGAGATCGGCAAGGTCCAGCCCCCGTCTGCACGTTTCACTGTAGCTTCCCAGACGGCCCAGCAGAAAGGCCACCAAAAATGGCCCATCACTGCCTTAAGAGCGACCAGTGCCCAAGTAGGCCCGACGGGGCGCCCGAGAGGCCTTCCAGAGGCGCCCGAGCAAACCCGCAGAGGCCTCCAAGGGGCGTTCAAGAGGCCGTCCACGAGGCGAATGAGAGGTCCACGAGCACGAAACACATCATCATGCCGTTGCCCCTGTTACGTCCCAGGTAGGCCGCACGAGGTCCGCCCCGAGCGCCCCCCCCCCCGCAGCCCCGAGACGAGCTGGCCCCGGCAGGGCGCAGGCAGGGGCCAAGGCAGGGACGGTGGCCCGCCGCCGAGGAGGCAGGGTCCGAGAGCAGCACGAGGAGGCGAGGAGCAGCAGCAAACGAGATGGGTGGGCCGGGCTATACTGAAATCGGGCGTGTCCCCCTACAAGGGGATTTTCGACGAAATATGACAAATACCCAAAGAATACTCCGGTCGAAAAATGCTCCAACAATAGTCCCCAGTCTATTTTTTCGCTAGTTTCTAATATCCCCCCTGTAGAGGGACAGGCCCGACTTAAGGCTGCACCCGAGCCGCCACACCGGAGGAGCGGCGAGGCAGCATGGGGGGGGGGAGGCTGGGCAGTGGCGGGTTACGAGGCGACTCCCCTGGGAAATATCTTCGCTAGAACGATTCACTATAGGGGCTACCCAGCCCGATTAACTGGGCGAGGAAGCCAGATCAGCCCAGACTGAGCCCACGATTGAGCCCGATTGGACGGGTTATGAGGCAACTCCCTGGGAAACCTTCGCTAGAACGATTCACTGGAGGCTACTCGGCCCATGAAGGGGCGACGAAGCCAGATCGGCTCAGACTGAGCCCATGATTGAGCCCGGTTGGACGGGACCGGGATTTACCTGCGCCCGAGCGATCGACATCTGTCCCTGCCCACTGCCCGCGCCCCAAGCCCACAAGGAGCCAGAGCGGGTGCATGGGAAATTCCTGACCTCAGAGGCCACGTCTCTTTCTCCATGCCCTGTTTCTCGAGTAGGACATCGACTACAGAAGTGAGGAAGCCGAAACTTACTTGTCCCGTCGAATCTGCAAGCGATCACGTTTTGGTTCGTGCATTCGGCGAGCAAATCATGTCTGGGGTGAAGCAATTCTGTACTCCAGATTTCGTAATAAAGGGAGGAGGGTCTCATGTCGGAGGGGGTCTCTTCCAGGCTATCTTGGAGGGCCTGGGGGGGTCTGGGGACGGTGTTTTGGAGGGTTCTCTCACGGGGGAGGACTGAAATGGCTAGTCTTGGAGGGTCCAGACCCCCTCCCTTTTATTACGAAATCTAGAGTAGTCGATCCCCCACTCGAGCTGGCGCCCTGGAGCGGGAGGCAGCAGCAGGGGCATGGAGCGAGCGTCGAATCCCCCGAGGTCCGACGCTGCGAACAGCACAACTGCAGCATCGTCAAGGATCACTGAAGGGGCCATGGGACACACAAATAAATACACACAAATAAAAAGATTCCCCATATTTTCCCATATTTTCTAGGTTTTTGTCTTCCCCCCAACCCCCACATTTTCCCATATTTTCTGGGAAAATCGACGATTAATTGTGTCTGTGTGTTTTTTGTCCCTCCTTATCACGACCGGAGCCCGGGACCCACTGGACCCCAGATTCCTGCGTCGTGCTGCGGAGCCAGATCGAGTTGTGAGGGTCCCAGGGCCCGCAGGCCGCGCGACCACGCCTCGTGTGGACCGCAAAGGCTGCCGCGCCAGGAGGTCTCTCAGGGATCGTCGAAAGCAGGCAGGCGAAGCTGGCTGCGTGATTTTAACGACCCCTACGGCAAGTTCGCGCCGCGTCGACCCTGGCGCTGGTTCCTGACAACGCAGGGATCGTTCAAACCTGAACGATCGGCCGCTCCGTGAACGTCGGATCGTTCAACGACGGGCCGAGCCTGGGCCACGGGCGGCGTCCAACCTCAAACGCACGCGATGGGGTCGCTGGCGGTCGGCACGACGCGAACCTCCACGGTGGCCATGCACTGACAACTCTCTGTCGCTGAGTGGTTCATGATCGGCCACGTCTACATCGCAGAGTAGGGTGGGGCTGGGACAGGGCATGCCACTCCTTGACGAAAACCTTGCCCCGACTCGTGGCCGCCGCGGTCGAAACTCTCTGTAGCTGAGTGGTTCATGATCGGCCACGTCTACATCGCAGAGTAGGGTGGGGCTGGGACAGGGCATGCCACTCCGTGACGAAAACCTTGCCCCGACTCGTGGCCGCCGCGATCGCCGCAACGACTCCTCCTCCTCCTCCTCCTCCTCCTCCTCCTCCTCCTCCTCCTCCTCCTCCTCCTGTAACCGACCTGGAGGGTCGGTTCGGGGACGGATCACCGAGAAGGGTCTACGATAAAGGCCTTTTTGTTTACATGGGAGCTCACTCCAGTTTTGCGCGGAAGGGGAGGGCGAGGGGAGGGGAGGCAGGGCGAGGAGGGGAGGGCGAGGAGGGGGATGACTATTGACTATTCCCAGCCGAGGGCTTCCTGAAGGGGGCCCCCCACTGTTACAGACCCTCTGCGGCCACTCTTCCAGCATCACGCGCAACGAGCAGCCGGCATCGACTCCCGAAGCCGGATCGGCTCGGATGAAGCCCCGCACCGGGCCGTGCTGGGGGGCCCGCCCGCGCACGTGGCCGCCAGGAGGGCGAGGCCGATCGCGAGGCCGTAGTGCTGGCTGTCCTTCGCCCCGCCCTCCCCCCGACGAGGAGGAGGAGGAGGAGGAGGAGGAGGAGGAGGAGAAGGAGGAGGAGGAGAAAGGGAGCCCCCCTCCCCAGGCACCCGCGCGCCTCGAAGGATTATCGGGTCGGCGAGCCCACGGTGGGGAAATCTCAGGGGGGCGGGCCCTCTGAGAAGGCTCGGAGGGCCTCTGCCCCTCTGTACGAAGTCTGCTGGGCCCTCCTCCTCCTCCTCCGAAGTCGCAGGCGGCGGCCTGGGGGCTTCTGAGAAGCCCCGCCGCCTTCTGAGAAGGCCTGCCCCTTCTCACTTCCCCCCCCCTCCGGGCGCGCCTCTGAGAAGAAGACGAAGACGGGATCGGGGCAACATCAGATCGGGATCCATCCGTGAGGTCCAGGGGCTCTGAGGTACTTGTCGGGCGCCGAGGCCTTCGCAGAGCGTTCCGGGACGCTCTGGAGCGCCTTTATCCTGGCTCTGGCCCCGCTCGACCTCCCCTGCCCAGAAATGCGACGTCCTGATTGTTTCAATACGTGGCCCCTGGACGTCCCGACCCCTTCCCCGGGACCGGTTCTTCATCCTGAGTTGTTTTGCTGACGGCCCCGAGGCCCAGCGAGGGCTCCCAGTGGCCGAAGGCGGCCAAACACCTCCCGTCTTGGACTTCTTTTTAACGACGCGATCATGCCTGGGTGGCATCCCCGCATCTTGAAGAACACCGTCTTGGCGCCCGTTTCGGGGCCTCTGCAAGGGGGCCGCGCTGTGTAAAAGATACGCCCCCTCCGCCCTCCTGTCGGGGAGACGGACTCGGGTTCGAGGGACTCGGATTGGCCTGACGGGACCAATCTGAAACTCGCCGCGAGCGCCCGCTGCAGAGATCCCCACGACCACTGCATCGCCACAATTCGGCACGCTCTCGTCAGAAAGCGCCCGCAAACCCGAGCTCCAGCGCACTCGAGCCTCACGCCTCCCCGATCCTGGCGGTCCTCGTGCTCCCAGGAGGAGAGCCGGCTGCGGTCGGGCCCTGGCGCCCTGGCTCCTCCTCCTCCTGGCGCCGGCTCCTCCTCCTCCTCCTCCTCCTCCTCCTCCTCCTCCTCGTTCCTCCTCGTTCCTCCTCGTCCTCCTCCTCGTCCCTTCTCCTCCTCCTCCTCCTCCTCCTCCTCCTCCTCCTCCTCCTCCTCCTCCTCCTGCGCCGCGCGTCGCCCCGGCGGCCCCGGCGACACGCCAGCTGCCAGGCGAGATGGGCAGCGTGCCGCCGGCTCTCCGCCGGCGGGGCGGGAGGCCGATGAAGAAGCTCGGGAGGTGGACGCCGGGGGGCCGAGGAGTGGACAGCGTGTCGCGCCGCAGCAGGAGGAGGAGGAGGAGGAGGAGGAGGAGGAGGAACGAGGAACGAGGAACGAGGAGGAGGAGGAGGAGGAGGAGGAGGAGGAGGAAGGGAGGAGGAGGAGGAAGGGTGGAAGGGGAGGAGTAAGGGGGTGGGAGGAGGGGAGGTGGACGAGGAAGAAGAGAAGGAGGACCAGTCGGATCTACCCAGGCCTCCTCGAGCTCTTCCCCGGAAGGGGCACATGTCCACTTGAGGTCGAGGCTGGGCGGTCCCAGCGCCCGAAATCTGACGCCCTGGAGCCAGAGGTTCTCCCCCGGCCCTCGTCGCATCGGATGCAGCCGTGCCGCTTCCCTCGTATCCTCGCTCACTCCCTCGTCGTTTCGCCCCCCCCTTCTTGCATCATCTGTGGCAAGTGCCTCCCGTGGCGTCTCCCGACCTCCCTGCCTCGCAACTTCCCGTGCCGCTGGCTGGCCGGCAATAGACTCTGCGCGGCCCACGGTCCGCCCGATCCGTCTGTTCATCCGCCGTTTCCTCGTGTTCCTCCTTCTTCTTATCTTCCGCTCGGGAAGCTCGGGAGGTTGACGCTGGGGGGCCGAGGAGAGGACAGCGTGTCACGCCGCAGCAGGATGAGGAGGAGGAGGAGGAGGAGGAGGAGGAGGAGGAACGAGGACGAGGCCAAGGAGGAGGAGGAGAGGAGGAGGGAGGAGGAGGGAGGAGGAAGGAGGAGGAGGAGGAGGAGGAGGAACGAGGACGAGGCTAAGGGAGGAGGAGGAGAAGGAAGAGGACGAAGGAGGAGGAGGGGGAGGTGGAGGAGGAGGAGGAGGAGGAGGAGGAGGAGGAGGAGGGGACAGGGCTTCTCTGGCCACGCGGGCCTCGGCCGCAAACAGGTTCCCTGACACCCGGACCCGAGGAGCGCCCATCAGAGGCCAGGGCGCCCCAGCAGGCACCGAAGGCGGCCCTTCGGGTGAGCGCCTTGGCTACGCGCGCGCCTACTTATATCGTGGCGCTCCTCTTCGGGTCCGACAGGCCCTCGCTGTGATCCGCCGCTTCCCCATCTTCCGCCCGCTCCTCGCGCTCCTCCTCTTCTTTGGCCTCTTGCTCCTCCTCCTCCTCCGCTTCCTCCTCCTCCTCCTCACCCTCCCCATTTTCCCTCAAGAGGGGTGGCGAGAAGGACGCAACTCCGCTGGGCCTCCCAGATCGTCCGAAACTGCAGGTAATTGTGCCTTTGGCACCTCCAAGAAAGAAGGGTCATCTTTTAAGCCGCCGCAGGACCGCACTCCACTGAATCTCCGAGGAGCTCAAGGGGCGACACTTGCTCAGCTGGCAGCTGCCAGGGAAGGGGTTTTACCATTTGGGTCCACGTCCTCTGGACCCCGAGCTCACGAGAGTGGCAACAATTGCGCGTGGGATCGCGCCCGGCGTAAGACCTCAACCCGCTGGACCTCCCAAGAACTCATGATAAAGACGACAGTTGCGGACTCGACAACACCCAGGTTGGCGAGGCTTCCTCCTGCTCAGGACAACGCCGCTGTTCGCTGGACGTCAAGAGTCAACATGTACGGACGAAATGGAAGTAACCGCAATAGGTCTTCAATAACTCACTCAATAATGTATTTGTCTTGAGACAGTTGCCGATGGCTAATTGGGGGATTTTCCAACCATCGGAAAATTTTCCGATGGCTAAGTGAAGGTTGCCCACACCCAACCAGATTCGACAAATGATAATTTCGCTGCCGCCGTCGCCGCCGTTGCGGAGGAAGAGGAGAAGCGGAAGATAAGAAGAAGGAGGAACACGAGGAAACGGCGGATGAACAGACGGATCGGGCGGACCGTGGGCCGCGCAGAGTCTATTGCCGGCCAGCACGCGACACGGGAAGTTGCGAGGCAGGGAGGTCGGGAGACGCCACGGGAGGCACGTGCCACAGATGATGCAAGAAGTGGGGGGGCGAAACGACGAGGGAGCGAGCGAGGATACGAGGGAAGCGGCACGGCTGCATCCGATGCGACGAGGGCCGGGGGAGAACCTCTGGCTCCAGGGCGTCAGATTTCGGGCGCTGGGACCGCCCAGCCTCGACCTGGAGTGGACATGTGCCCCTTTCCGGGGAAGAGCTCGAGGAGGCCTGGGTCGATCCGACTGGTCCTCCTTCTCTTCTTCCTCGTCCACCTCCCCTCCTCCCACCCCCTTACTCGTCCCCTTCCACCCTTCCTCCTCCTCCTCCTCCTCCTCCCTTCCTTCTCTTCCTCCTCCTCCTCGTCGTCCTCCTCGTCCTCCTCCTCGTCGTCCTCGTCCTCCTCCCCCTTGTCGTCCTCGCGTGGCGCAAAAGTCTCTCCCCGCGCACTGTCGCCGCCGGCTGAACTGCGCAGACCCCGGAACGGAAAATTCAGAGCGCCATGGCGACCAGGCGGAACAATTTCAGCCCTATCCGGCGGCGGCCGCGCAACAGCGCAGGCACCGCCCGCCGCCGCCGCTCGCACTTTGGCGGCCCGGGCGGCTCGGTCCGCCCCGAGGGCGGTCCTCAGCTGCCGCAGCGTCGCGCGGTGCAGTGCGACGCCCCGTTCGGCGCCCCAGCGTTGCGCCAGCGCGCTTGCCGCAGTCCGCTCCGCGCCCACTAGCTCCGTGTGGTCGCGGGCGAGCTGGCGGAGGTGGCGCAGCACCGCCCTGTCGCGCGGGCCGCCCGCCAGCGGCAGCAGCTGCCGCGTCCATGGGGAGCTGTGGGCAGCCAGCCCGCTGCGCCTCGCGGTCGACGATCGCTTCCTCGTGCCGGGCCTTTTAGCGGGTGTCCGCAAGCGGCGCGCGGCCCCAGCTGCGCGGAGGCTGCGCCGCGCGTCTCGCAGCGGACGCAGCGCCAGGGCCAGCGGCCCCACGCGCACGGGCGGGGCGGAAACCACACTATGCGCGAAAGAACCCCCACGCGTCCTCGACGTCCGTGCTGCGGGCTGCGACGCCCCCGCGGCAAGAACATCGCAAGGCGTGGTGCTCCAGGATGCAGCGCGGCTCGCCGCAAAGCCGACCAGCGCGCGGGCCGATGCGCGTGTGGTTCTGAGTATCGGTTAACCGATCCCCATCCCCAGCGGCGTGGCCTGGGCCCAACTGGCCGATTTACCCCTCTAGATGGGTATATAGGCCGTCCCCTTCGGGTGTCGAGGGGTGTATCCCCAACTGGGGGGGGTAATTAGGTGGGGGTCTCGAAGGGGATGGGGATGAGGATGGGGATCGGTTAAACCATACCGAGGTTCGCCCACCGTTGGCGCGATGTCCTGGCCGAGCAGTTCGCATGCTGTGCTGCAGCAGTTGGCCCCGCTGAAGCGCTGCCCGTGACCAGCCGCCAGCCTACAGAGGGGGGGGGCCCAGAAGAGGCAAGCCTCGCCCAGTCCTCGCTGGCGCAAGTGACCCGCGGGACCGCAAGGTTTTTGTTGGTCCAGCCGCCGCGTCAATTCCTTCTGCACTTTTGCGCTTAGATTGATGGGCAAGGTCCGCCCAATTTGGAAGAGCGCCCGCCCCTTCCCACGGGCCGGCCCCAGGCCGCGGCAGCGGCAAGCCTGACAAAGGAAAAAACCACCGCGCACAATCCACGAGAGCTTCCCCCTGCCCGCCGCGCCCGCGGCCGCGACCGCAGCCGCAGCCGAAGAAAAACCACCACGAAAGGATCGCGATCGCTGCCCCCCTCCCAGCCGCGGCCGCGGCCACAGCCGCGGCCGCGGGCGCCGGACGGTGCCCGGCCTGCCTCCCAGTCGCCGAGCGCCGCCGAGCCTGTGCGGGCGCGCCCCTCTGCGGTGCTCCGGGCCGCGGGGCCCCCCAACGCCGCGGCGGGCAGCTGCGCCTGGCCGTGGAGGCCCCGGGGGCCCCCATGGCGCAGCGGCAGTCGGCACGGGGCGCGCTGGGGCTCCGCCTAGATCCACTCGTCCTGTCCCTCTCTCTCTCTATCTCTTCTTCTTCTTATTATTATTATTATTATTTTTCTTCTTCTTCTTCTTCTTCTCCGCTGCCGGCCTCGCGCCTCGCTCCTCCTCCGTGCGCTGCTGCTCCTCCTCATGCTATCCCCCCTCCCTTCCTGCTCGTCGTCCACCTCCACCACATCCACAGACATCCTACTCCCCGATGTTATCAGATTCGTGGTCCTTCTCCTCGTACCCTCTCCAAACAAACCATCTCCTCCTCTTCCTCATGTGATCAGTATCGTCTTTCTTCGGATCGTCGTTGTCCTCCTCCTCCTCCACCTCATCATCCTCATTCCCATCCACATCCTCATTCCTTCAGCGCCACCCTCTCCGTCTTCCATCTCGCTATTCGCCTCCATGCTGTGCAATGAAGTATTATGTCCCAAAGCAGTGTCCGTCCTTGTTCTTTTTTGCCCTGACAACATTCAGGAATACGAAACAGAACATCGTGCTGAATAACACCTCCGCGCGATGGCAGGTAAGAAGCTTAAGCACAATGCGCCGAACTGTTGGCATGCTCGCAACGGAAGTGCATGGCAGCTGCAATGTACGCGCGCACTGAAACTGGACATGCCACTTGATGTAAGCCTGCCTCATATGCATTCGGATGTTGCAGCACTGTATGAACGACACGCACCATGCGTTTAATATGCAGGCCCCGTTCAGGAACAACGCGCTTGCCAAGCGCAACTCTTGACCCAACTGGAACATCTCACTCACAGAAAAAATCGGAAACACGGCCGGACATGTCCAATGTGGCATCACAATGATCATGATCTCTGCGCTACCAGTAATGAAAACGATGGCACAACTAAAGCAACGATGATGGCACGGCCACGCTGCACTAGAAGTGGCGACGTGACAAACGCTCGTGCGCCCCGTGGGCGACAGTCTTCGAACCCGACTCCTACAAGTATGTGCTTTGACGAACTACAAAGGGCTCTGAGTGTCAGGGCCGTTGGCTACAACTTTGCACCCTGGGGAAAGGCCATCGCCCCAATGTCGCACGGACCTGTGAGACCAGCTTCTTCCTCCTCCGCGATGCTGCGAATCGGTCTCGCGCGAACAGACCGCGCTGGCATACATTGCAATCGCACGTGTGGCGGCCGCGCGCACACAGAAGCCGTGGAACCTGTGGTCAAGCGATGCCCGCGAGAGCACGCTCAAGTTACCACATGATGATATGAAAAGAGTGTGCAAGTCCTCGGACACACAGGCAACAACCTCGGCACGAAACGCTGCCTGAGGATGCAACGCTACCCCTGCAGCCGCACTGCATCCCCAGCGCTAGCAGCGCACGCTGGACTCGCGCGTGGGGCATGCAGAAGCCACGCGCTGGGCGCGTACGCGAAAGGCCGTCGTATCTGGTCACACGGGGGACGAACCCCGTATTTCCTCTCCTGTTCTGTAGCGCACCATTTGGGGAGGATGAGGAGGAAAGCTCAGGGGGCGAACGGCGAGTGATAAGCACGAAAGCCCTTCGTTGGCCCTGGATACGACAGTGGCAATGCAATGCGTGTGCTGTTTTATGCCTCCTTATTTCCATCGCTTCCAATGCATTTTTTGTGGACGTTTCTGGCACCGTTGTTTTACCGTCGTCGTTTCCCCTTTTCGGGGCCTGGTCCAAATCACATATTCCTGGATCTGATCCGTGTTCGACCCGGTTCTGAACGTCCTGCAAATCCCCAGACTGCCCAGGCCGTTTCGGTGAACAATTATTTGTTTGCTTGTTTGCATTTTCGTTTGATGTAAAGTTTATGTGAACTTTCCAGTTCTCACAAGTCGAAGCAATTCTCTGAACACGGTGAAACAAAAAAACGGCCATGCCGTGCCCAAGGCACGGCTAGAGCACGAGCCCATTCCGAAATCCCGCGGCCTCGCGCGGCAACGCCGGATTCGCGTCGGACTCACGCAGAACAAATCGATTCGGGTCACGTCGGATTTCCGTTGGCCTAACCTGAGAATTTTCTTAGGGTGGAGGGCTCAGGGTGAAATCCATGTGGGCTTTGCACCTCGAAGATCATTCCGTCTTGTGATTTCCCTTCTGCAGATTCAGGCCTCGGAAGTCCATCGCAACGGCATCTCAGATTTCTCCCTTCGCCCTCCGCCAAAAGAATCTGCTCGGCTGACGTCGGAACGTCCCCGCACGACCGCTGTCCCAGCTCTTACGGGGCAGACTTGCGGACGAGGTCATATGGGAAGCGTTGAACTGCACGGGCTGCCCGCCCACCTCGGAATCGAGGAGGAGGAGGAGAACGAGGAGGAGGAGGAGCAGGAGGAAAACAGGGAGGAGGTGGAGGAGGAGGAGGAGGAGGAGGAGAACGAGGACGAGGACGAGGACGAGATCCTACAGCTGCTGCGCGCCGCGCGCGAGGTCTCTGCAGGCGGCATGCTGTCCCCCCCCCCCACGAGCGAACGGAATCAGCCCAGGGGGACGAGCGGCGCCCGAGAGAGAGACCTAACAAAAACGCCCCGCGGGCCCCGTGAGACGTCGGGAGCCCAGACCAGGTGACGCCTCTTTCGAGCAGGGACCGGCCGTCCCGGCATTCCTATAGGCCTACCACGAAGTGCTCTTAGGACCCAATGTGTTGGAACATGAACGCGATGTGTTCAAACAAGGCAGGCCCCGCCAGACATGTTCTAAGAGCATTTCGTGGAAGCCACAAGAGGTTCTTACAACACTGTTTGGTAGGCCTCTAGGCACGCCAAGACGCTTCGCCACTTACTTGACTCTTGGGAGGATGGTTTGCAGCCGGACCTGTGCCAACAAAGAACCATCCCTCAAGAACACGAGGCCCTCCGCATGCCAACATGCACAGCACATCCCAGGGCCCCCTCCCGTGCACGAGAGAACTTCCGACAAGCACGAAGAACACTGAGGCACCCTCCCCGAAGCGACCTCGACTGGGGACTCCAAAAGGTACCGATACTGCTACTCCCCGGACCTCTCCCGGGGTGCGTTCTGACCAGGACTTCAAGGCAAATCGAGCGGTGGCGACGAAGGCCTCCCAGGAGGCCGAAAAAGGGGAAACCGGGCGAGACGTAGCTGTATGGGTACCCTCTTTCCTCCTCGGATCGATCTTGTTCCTCGGTCCGACTGCACTCCCCCGGCTTCCGCCGAGCTTCCAACGGCGGTGCTCTCCTCGCTCTGCCTCTACCCTCGTCAAAGGCTGAACGACTTCAGCCGTCCTTCGACTCGCGCTCGAGCGGCCGCGAGTTGCTCCAACTTTCCCTGGAGATCTCTGGATTTACCTGGATTTACCTGGATTTGACCTCGATTCACCTGGATTTACCTAGATCTATCTGCCATTCACCTGGATGCAGCTGGCTCGATCCCCACAAGCCGATTGGCGAAAAGTCGAAAAGCCCCCAGCGATGCCCTTCCCCTGCGGCCCCGCCGGCAGCCGACATGGGCGGCGCGAACGAGGGGGTGGAGGGAGGGGGAGAGGCTTCTTAGAAGGAGGCTGCTTCTGAAAGGCGCCGGCCTTTTACATCTACAGATAAGGCCCGCGCCTTCCAAGAAGCAGGGGTGCTTCTAAGAAGCCCTCCCCCCTCCTCCCACCCCCCTCCGCGCGTGGCTGAACATGATTCCCACGTGGAACATCTGGGGGCCACGCGCTGGGTGTGCACCCTGGGAGCCCCCCCCCCGAGAACCTTGACCTCCCAGAGTGCTAGCAAAACTAGCCCTCAGACCTACAGAACCACCTGGCCTGCCCAAGACCCCGACAGGAATTCGGGCGTCGAGATCCTGATGCTAGTGTCTGGCCCCCTCCTGCGCGAACAGGAACGCGCCCCCCTCGATTCCCCCGCCCCACCGAGGGCGCGAGGAGGCCCCGCCTGCACGCGCCCTGCAAGCGCGCTGTCGTCGTCATTGTCATCGGTGTCGTCGTCGTCGTCGTCGTCGTCGTCGTCGTCGTCGTCGTCGTCGTCGGTGTCGGTGTCGTCGTCGTCGTCGTCGTCGTCGTCGTCGTCGTCGGTGTCGTCGTCGTCGTCGTCGTCGTCGTCGTCGTCGTCGTCGTCGGCGTCGGCGTCGGCGTCGGCGTCGGCGTCGGCGTCGGCGTCGGCGTCGGCGTCGTCGGAGGTGTTGGCCCCGGGCCCAGCCCGCGCGCGGGCGAGGCCCGCGCGCGGCCCCGCGCTGGCGCTCGGCGCACGGCCCCCGCGGGGGGCGGGGGGCGGGGGGGCGGCCTCGGTGAGCCCCGCCCGCGCCCAGTCGTACTCGCCTCGGCGCCGCCGCGCGCTGCGTCCTCCGCGCTCCGCCCTCGGGCAGCCACCACTTGCCGTCCTCTGCGCCCTCTCTCGTCCTCCACTCCGTCGTCGTCCCGCTTCGCCGGCTTTCATTCCTCATACCTTTCTTCACCACGTCGTTGCTCCTCAGTCCTCCATGGTCCTCCACACTCGATCCTCTCTCTTCAGACCTTGGCCTCCTCCTCATCATCACATCCACCCTTCATCTGCAGTCCTCCATCCCCCCGCCCCACCCCGCGCGGTCCTGCTCGATCACTCCTCCTCCTCCCCCCTCCCTGCTTCCCCTCCGCCCTCCCCGCCCGCCCCCTGCCCCATCCCCAGCCGCCCTTCCCCTCTGCGCCGCGTCGCTCCCCCTTCTCAGAGTACTGGTTGGTTCCCCAACACGTGCTCCCTCTCTCTCTCTCTCTCTGTCATATATATATATATATAATATATATATATATATGTATCCCTCTCTATCTGGCTATCTTCGTCTGGCTGCCTCTCACCAATGCAGAACACCCTGGCCAAACAAGAACAATCAAAACAACGGCGCAAGTGAGAGGCGCAGCGGCGCTGCAGGCTGGCCATAAACACGGTGGACTGGACGCTCTATGGATCAAAAGAAGAGACGCGAGACCCGCGAAGACGACCCTGCAACAGAGCGAGCTCTCAGCAAGGACATCCGAGCCGAGACTGGGACGTTGGGGAGATACCAAACGCCGATCGGACATGGGCAACATGTCGTACAGTAGAGGTCCGTCCACAAGAAACCTTCCAGAAGAAACCCAACCCTGAGACTCCAGGACGTGCTTTGATTTCTGGTATGGGCGTGCACGCTTTCCATAGCAAAACCATCGAAACCCAAGAAACCCATGGCACCTTGGAGGCAAAAAGTGTGTTTCTTGGCATGGGCCTCCACTGTATGCGCTTCATGACTTGCCGAAGGTCCCCTGCATCGAGTCGTAGAAATCAAACGATGTTTCGTTCCAGGTGTGCGAGTGGGGAGGCGGCGCTGCGGGATAGACAAGAGATTGCCGACGATGCCGGGAGCAACAATCCTGAAGAAGGCAAGACTTCTACCGCGGCGTGACACAGTCCACCTTTCACTGTGCAAGAATTGCAGACGGCATTAAAGCAGTTGAAAGGCAAAACAACAGACAACAAAAGCACTGTGGCTGAGCGGTATCTTTTTGAGGTTTCGCTATCAGGGGTATTATTCTTCAAATTCACGACGATACCATTAACTTTCAAGCCCAAGCGCTGGAAGAGTGAATCGCATCGTGGTCAAAGTCATATCCCAAAATGGAACATGAAACTGCCGCAGAGTCATAGGCCCATCAACATTAGTCAGTTACTGTGCGTCTTGTTTTCCCAGTCGTGATATAAGAGGCTGGTGCAAGTTTTGGACAATAAGCGAAACCATGACCATGCACCATGCAACTTGTCGCCCGCTTCGATCCGCTAAGATCAGCCTGTACCATTTCGATGATTCCAGGAAACAGCGGCTGAAAACCAAGTGACTCTTCGGGGTGCCGCCGTAGATCCCTGGGCCTATGACAATGTTACATATAGAGGCTTGTGGGATGCTCTGGCTGACCAGGGTTTGACGAAAGATACGTCGAATTGCTTCGAGACTTTCACTGGGACCAGACAAACAAGGAATTCCAAATACAACGTACGACAAAGCAGGGCGATCCGCGCACTTCCCTCAACAGCTTGTCCGTATATGTCGCCGATGAGCTAAGACAGAGTGGATCAAACCAAACATTGATGTCATCGATCAGCTGGAGAACAAGTGGATCCAATCAAAAAATGGGGTGCAAATGATGTAGAAAAAATACATATTACGTCTTGCGACCTCTCTGCGACCCGTGAAGAGGATGATCGGCGACTTGCAGGATGCCGAGGAGGAGGAGGTTGGCTTGGAAGTACACCCCAAATGGCTTGTGGATTCCAAATTAGTCCACGGCAGCTCTGACAGTACACGCAAATGTGAGAAAGCAATAATCGTGGAGACCAACGGCATGGAGATCGAGATCTTGCTGGTTCCCGGGCATGCAGAATACCTTGGGCGAGAACTTAGTTTTCCGATTCGTAGAAAATTTAACTGTAGAACAGGATTACTGCGGTTTGGATCAACCTTTTCTTCATTGAGGCAGAAGCTTGTTGGGCGCAAATATTCTCAGAAAGACCGCTTGCTGGTTCCCGGGCATGCAGAATACCTTGGGCGAGAACTTAGTTTTCCGATTCGCAGAGAATGTAAGTGTAGAACAGGATTACTGCGGTTTGGATCAACCTTTCTTCATTGAGGCAGAAGCTTGTTGGGCACAAGTATTCTCAGCAAGACCGCATGCGTTTGTTTCATGGTGCTCTTAGCCGACATTAATGTACGGTTGCGAAGCGTGGGCTATGACAGCGGAGCTTGAAAACAGGGTTCGACGCACGCAAAGACACATACTTAGACTGATCATGCAGACGCCACGTCGCAAACACGTACACAGAACTGCTGGCTTGAAATATGTGAAAGAAGCAACAATCTTCGACCAACAACGACGACTATGTGGACAACGCTGGAGGAAAGCAGGAACAACTTACCGGAGCAGAGCAAATTCAGGAATATTAGGAACCTTTGAAATAATTACTAAATCACTGCTGAGTGATGACCGGATCAACCAACAACGTCAAGCAAATGGCATGGTCCGCAACAATTGTGTGCAAGGCGCCCGGGGAATCGATGCGACAAGCTGTATCTTGGGATCCGTGTCGACACATATCGCTACACGGGAAAAGACGCCCTCTCCGAACAAAGCGTCGCTGGATGGACGACATTTCCAAATTCATTTCAAGACACAGAGAAGCGTTGACTCCGGAAGAGCAGAAAGCTTTAGCTGACGGCTGTGGGGCGCGAGATGTTACTCACCTGCTACTCATTTGCGCCACACGAGATGCATTGAACGACGTATAGCAGGATTGTTGTCTGGCGCTTTCAGCAGCAGTGGGTGCTTCGGCCCCAACCCGCGGCACATACGCGGTGCGCGATGCGGGTCGCAGTCGCTAGTCGCATGCGGTCCGAGCGAGCGGGGCCAGAGGATCGCACCGCAGCGCCCATGGCGTCGCCGACGCATCGGCCACTGCGCACGCGACGCGGGCGGCGCGGCGCGATCCTCCGACCACATCTGAGCGTTCCGCTCGGGACGCCCCGAGGATTAGGTCGGGCACGTCCTCCTACAAGCGTACTTCGGAGGAAAAGAAACAATAGTCAAACCATGCTCAAACATAGCCAGAAATACTAAACAAATTGTCCCCTGAGTATTTTTCCACATCCTGAATGAGGTTCTTATTTTCCTGGACCACATTCTCCTTCTCCTTCTCCTCCTTCTCCCCTTCCTTCACCTATACCATGCCATATCTGCCATACCCTACCAATACCATACGTACTATACTATTACGTACTATACTATACCATACCATACCCTACCATACCATACAATACCATTCGTGCCCCTCCCACCCCTCCAGGGAGGCCCCGCCCGAGCGAGGAGGGTCTCCCCAAACCATACTCTTTACAAGGTTTCGTGCCCCTCCCACCCCTCCAGGGAGGCCTCGCCCGAGCGAGGGTATCCCCAAACCATACTCTTTACAAGGTTCCGTGCCCCTCTCACCCCTCCAGGGAGGCCCCGCCCGAGCGAGGAGGGTATCCCCCAAACCAAACAATGTATAAATGTTCGTGCCCCTCCCACCTCACCAGGGAGGCCCCGCCCGAGCGAGGAGGGTATCCCAAAACCATGCTATTTACATGGTTCCGTGCTCCTTCCACCCCTCCAGGGGGGCTCCGCCCGAGCGAGGAGGGTATCCCCAAACCATACTCTTTACACGTTTTCGCGCCCCTCCCACCCCTCCGGGGAGGCCCCGCCCGAGCGAGGAGAGTATCCCCAAGCCACACTCTTTACAAGGTTTCGTGCCCCTCCCACCCCTCCAGGGAGGCCCCGCCCAAGCGAGGAGTTAATCCCCAAACCATACGTGCTCCTCCCACCCCTCCAAGGAGGCCCAGCCTGAGCGAGGAGGGCATCCCAAAACCATAGTAGACATTAGGTGTGCGCCCCTTCCAGCACTCTAGCCAGGCCCCGCCTGAGCAAGGAGGGTATCCCAAAACCAGACTATTTACAAGGTTTCGTGCCCCTCCCACCCCTCCAGGTGCATGCTGCCAAGCGCGGCCTCCTTTGATTGCGTTCTACACATCCACCCTCCCCCCCTGCTGATTCCCCTCCTCGCCTCTGTCGGCCCTTCCATGACAATACATGGACATCATAGGCCTTCATCTTTTGGCACTGGTTTTTTATGCCCTCGTGATCCCGCCAACCCCGTGACATCCTTATGTGGGGGACTCCGTTCGCATACACTTGACTATGTCTGAATGTTCTTCATGTGGAGGGACAGGGCCGTTTTGACCCGACGGATGGACGGATGGAGGAGGAACGCGCGCGGGCCAGCACTGCGACTCCGCTGCTGCACTCACCCCTTTGCGGCTGCTCCCAACCCCAGCCACAGTCTTCCGTCCTTCTCCTCCTCCTCCTCCTTCTCCCCCTCCCCCTCCTCCTCCTCCTCCTCCTCCTCCTCCTCCTCCTCCTCCTTCTCCCCCTCCTCTCCTCCTCCTCCTCCTCCTCCCCCTCCCCCTCCTCCTCTTCCGCCTCACCTTCCTTCTCCCCCTCCCCCTCCTCCTCTTCCGCCTCCCCTTCCTTCTCCCCTCCTCCTCCTCCTCCCCTCCTCCTCCTCCTCCCCTCCTCCTCCTCCTCCTCCTCCTCCTCCTCTCCCTTCCTCCTCCTCATCCTCTCCCTCTCCTCCCTCCTCCTCCTCTCTCTCTCTCCTCCCCTCCCCTCCCCCTCCCCCTCCCCTGCTTCCCTCGCCGCGCAGCACGGGCCCCGGGGCCCGTGCCTCGAGAGCCCCCCTCTCGCTCCCGGGGTCCTGGGGGGTGACGGCCATCGACCCCCCCCCTCCGCCCCCCCTGCCCCCGTTCGTCCCTCGCGCTCCCGTGGGGAACGCCACCTGCTCCCCGAAGGTATCTGGCACAGAGGTCCACAAAAACCCACCCCAGCACTGAATAGAGGTCCAAAAACGAACACTGGCAGAGACATAAACACTCGGAGGTCCGCGGGGATTTCTCGGATCGGCGCTGGACCGCCTCCGCGCGCCAGGGAGGGGGGTCCAGCGCGGATCCAAGAAATCCGCGCGGGACTCCGAGTTCTTACGTTTATGTCCTTTCCCGTTCCCCTAATGTCGGTACCCCCCCGCCTCTTTCGCCCCTCGCGCTACCATGGGGAACGCCACCTGCTCCCCAAAAGCATCTGGAACACGGCCCGGGCACAATTGCTGGACGGGCCTAGGACCATCCGATTTCGCCCTCGCGTTGGTGCCGACACTGCACCATTGCCTTCGTCCCCCCCTCCTCACTTGAAAAACGTCCTCAGAAGCGTGGATCCGATTCCTCGATCGATCTGGTCCGACTTCGACACAACCCGAGACCACCACTTGTCATCCGACACAACGCGAAACTCCAACGCTGAATTGCGGACGTGAGTTCCCAATCTTCACCCGACCAGACCTCGCAATGGTGCGCCGCGATGCGCTGCCTCATCCGCGCAGAAAACTTCGACGCCACTTGCGCCCGATGTTGCGCCCGATGTTGCGCCCGATGTTGCTTCCGATGTTGCGTCCGATGTGGATCCGATTTGGGTCAGATTTTGAGCCCGATTGTTTGTCCGACTATAACTCCGATGTGCGTCTGATTTGTTTTGATACTGCATCGGGTCGAAACGAACAAATCGGACACGCAATCGGTCGCGAAATCGAACGCGAAATCTGTCGCTTCTGGGCGCGTTTCCAGGCGTTCTTTCGGGGGCTCTTCTGAGCTCGCGTCTTCGCGATACTCCGGGCAGTCTTAATGGCGCTCTCCTGGGCTCGCCTGGGCGTTCGTCCCAACGCGTCCCCGAGCGCTCCTGTTGGCGCTGTGCTGGTCGCCCCCAGCGCACCCTCTGGACGCCAGGCGCGCGCCAATTCTGCCGCGTGAAAGCCGGGACCCCCAAAAAATCAGAAGCGCATCTGCTCTGCCACCGCGGCGAGATGACCCCTCCGCCTCTTGTGCAAGAGCATGATACTCATAAACGGTAGAACATCTGAGCGGGTCTCTTGGCATGGCGCTGGACTCCTCCCCAGCGCGCGGAGCGCGCCGGGGGCGGCGCTGGGGGCGCCGCCAGCGGGGACACAGCGCAGATCTAGGAAGCCCGGGCGGACCTGTGACAATTTCTGCCATTTTGCAGGATCAGCCAACATTTAGGTCGGGCGTGTCCCCCTACAGGCTGATTTTGGAAGAAAAATTAGAAATAGTCTAAAACAAACAACAAAATGGTTTTAAATTGTAGAAAGCTCGTCCGTGGACTATTTTTCACATATTTTGGGATATTCCTCCAATAGAGGGACGGGCCCGACTTAAGCCAACATCAATTCGGAACATCGGATCGGGTCGGAACGTGCGCCGGATCGGGCCGCATCCGCACGGACTCGGAATCGAATCGCATCGGCCGCGCCGGCGCGCCATACGGGAATCGGGCCACATCGCATCGGCAGAACATCGAAATCGAATCGCGTCGGGCTGGCCAGAATCGATCTCCGATATTCTCGAATCGGGCCGATCGGATCGAAATGGACACCTTCGGTGGCAACTCATGGGAGCCTCCCGTACCATCTTGCCGGCTCTTGCGAATCGACGCTAGTCGACGCTAAATCGACGCGAACCGACGCTAAATCGACGCGAATCGACGCTGACCGACGCTGAATCGGCGCTATCTCATCGACCCCCAGACGCTAGCCGACGCGAATCGACGCTAAAGACAGAATTGCGAGGGTACACAAGGCTCCCACGACTTGCCGGCTAAGACACCTGCTTAGTCGTCTTCGACTGCTGGCGCTCCTGAGGTCCTTCCTCCAAGTGAACGTTTTCTTACTCGGCGTTTCGACATTGGGCGGAAGGGGGGGGGAGGGGGGGGTCTGGCTCCGGACCTCTGCTTGATGCGACTGTTTGGAACCGTGCGTTCGTTCTATGGGGGAGACTCCGGCTGCTTGAAACAGGCGCCAAAAACAGACAAGATGTGATCTTTGTTATATTCGTTGTTTTGCCGATCGGCGCGGGCCCGCGTACACCCCCCCCTCATGGAGTAGATCTTGGCAATGTTTGGCGCCTGTTTCGAGCGGGTGGAGTCCCTCCCCCAACGGACACGTTGTTGCAAACAGTCGCACTAATCAGAGGTCCGGAGCCAGACCCCCCCGCCTCCCCCCCCTTCCGCTCAATGTCGAAACGCCGAATCAGAAAACGCCCACACGATCCACTCCATGGGGGTGGGGGAGGGGGGGGGTGCGAGGGCCCGCGCCGATCGGCAAAACAATGAACAAGAAAACGAGGACCAACTTTGGAGGCCTGGAAATGGGCACCAACACCAAGACGGGGGGGTTGCCTCCACGGGGGGGGAGATGGTTCTAGATTTCGGGTTTGGTGGCAACAGTTCGGTCACCCTGAACACGAGAACATTGCCACCGTCACCGAGATCGGGATCTCCTTCCCTCGGTGGAGGAACACCGCCGATATTGGTGTTGGTGTCAACTTTGGACGCCCGAAATGGGTACGGCAAAAAGGGGTACAATGCCCAACAACAAATGCTGTCCCAAACCAACAGCGGCCGCTGTTGGGCAGGCGGCGTTCTGTCTCGAATGGACACAGGCCGCGGCGGCGCGGACCGCGAGTCCTGTTCAAAGCGGGCAGGGACTGCCGTTGGGCATTGGACCCACTCTTTCCGTGCCCGTCTCGGGCGTCCACATCAACTTTGGAGGCCTGGAAATGGGCACCAACACCAAGACGGGGGGCTGCCTCCACAGACGGGGAGATGTGGAGGCACTAGCTCGGCCACCCTGAACACGAGAACATTGCCACCATCACCGAGATCGGGATCTCCTTCCCTCGGTGGAGGAACACCGCCGATGTTGGCCTGCGATTGCAACCCCCGCCGCTGCCGCTGCCGCCTCGGGCGGGCGGCGCCCGTGCTCGGGGCCGCGCGCGCGCCACCCAGAGCTCGGGGCCGCGGGCGGGGCGCGGCCGCGCGTGCTGGTTTCCTTTTGTCTGTGTAGCGGGGCCGACTTACCATAGGCCCAGGGACACACACACACACACACACACACGCATAAATAGACACATAACCAAGGACTCCCCATACTGTCCCACGCGTTCTGGGGTTTCGTCTTCTCCCCCCACGTACCGTCTTTCCCCACATAACTATCTTCCTGGGGGTCGACGGGTTTGTAAGTTTCCCTCCGGATGGCTGCACATGTGAAGGGAGCTCAGAACAATAAGATCGACGACCCCAATCGACGCTACATTGACGCTGATCGCCGCTCGACGCGAATCGACGCTAAACTTATACTTTTCCGTCGACTACCAGACGCTAGCGCACGCCAGTGCACTCTGAAGAAGGCATCGCGAGGACATACGAGGCTCCGACGATTTCCTGCCGCAGAAGCCCTGCACCCCAACAAAAAAACCTGTCATCTCTTAGGAGGCTGATTCTTGCCTCCGCGACTCCCTTTGCCTCGGAAATTTTGCGGGGGCACCAACACTACCGTGAAAACGACACGGCGCGTTTCAAAATCGGAAACGAGGCCCAGGAACGGACAGCGGGCTCGGGACGACAGGCCCGACTGGCCTCAGCCCCGCGCCCGCGCACCCCCACCCCTGTGGGAGTGGCACATGCGGGGACGGCTCCCCCCCCCTCTGGTGAGGGGAAGGCGCAAAAAGGTCCTCCGCGTTCTTAGCGTGGCCCCCTACGGAAATATTTCTCGAGCTGTGTCTGTGACGTCGGCAGGGGGAGAGGGAGGTAAAAAGGAGAGGCAGAGGCGGTGGAAGAGGTACTGTTCTCGGCGGCACTGGCAAAGCCTCGCACCTCACGCGATGTAGATGGCGTCTGTGCTGGTATAGGCGCTGGCGACGCATCTGTAGTCAATGCAGGCATCGCACTAGCTCCTATTTCTTCCTGGGTTTCTTGCTCTTGCTCGCCTGCCCCCCCTTGCCGCCTTTGAACGCCAACGCCTCCACTTCCTTCGCCGCCTTCGACCTCGTCGCAATGTCGCACTGGAGGCACACTCCCACTGCGACCAGAGCACCATTGCGCCGGCGGAAGGCCAGCGGCTTCCGCTGGCCATCCGCCGGCGGAGGCGGCCTCGGTTTACGTTAGCCTGCTTGCGCCGAGGTTCCGCCGACCTCCTGACGATGGAGAGATATTAAAACTCCTTCGATCCTCGAGGGCGAGGACTTCCTGGAACCCGCCAAGTGGACGAGTAGATGGAGGAGGTGGAGGAGGAGGGGGAGGAGGAGAAGGAGAAGGAGGAGGAGGGGGAGGAAGGGCATGCATCGGCGATGCATCGGCGACGTGGGCAATGCATCGGCGACGGTGGCGCGGAGAATTGGGCTCCACATGGAGCCGCATCGCCGATGCATCGGCGATTCGAGGCGATCCTCCGACCCCATGTACTCTGGCTCCATTTGAAAGAGCTTGAGAGGAGCGGCGGTAATGATGCTGGGCAATTCTGAGTTGTCACAATGACAACGGTGAGGCATGGTCATGAATAAAGTCGACGGTCGAGTTTACGATGGTCATGACGACGAAAAGCCGAGACGGAACATGCTGAGGAATCTGATAACGAACCCCATTTTATGAAAGCCGCGTGGGGCAACACACGTAGACCATTCCACCCGCTGCTTCTGGAAAAGCTGCGGCGCACGATACGTCTTGGTTATCTTCTGACGGGGACAGAGCAGATTAAGGAACGGAGCTCGGAAAACCCGAGCGCGCCTCAGGCCTCTGCATTGTCATCAGCATCGATCTTGATGATCTCCATCTCAAAGACGAGCGCGGCACCCCCGGGAATCACGCCTCCAGCGCCACGTTCGCCGTACGCCAGCTCTGAGGGGATGTACATCTCCCACTTGTCGCCCTCGACCATCAACTGCATTGCCTCTGTCCAGCCCTTGATCACCTGCATGGGCGCGAAAGTGGTGGGCTTACCCCTGTCGTACGAGGAATCGAACTTCGTGCCGTCGATGAGGGTTCCCTTGTAGTGGCACGAGCACGGGGTATCGATGCCGGGGTGGCGCTTTCCATGGCCAGTCTTGAGTACCTTGTACATCAGGCCAGACTTGAGTGTGATGACGCCCTCATCCTTTGACTTCTCCTCCAGGAACTTCTTCCCGGCCGGGTTGGTCGCGAGTGCGTGTCCGCAGAGGAGGGCGAACAAAACAATAGCTTTGCTTCCGCCCATCGCGGAATAGGGGTATGTGAATACCTGTCGGGATAATCCGAGTTAGAGGTCAAGTGGCTGCAGGCTGGGGTGGTGATGCTGCTGTTGAGGATTGCGTCGACGTTGGTGAGACCAGCGATGGCGCTGTGATTCCCGCGGAACTGTCAGTGACTAATTTTCGGGCATCTGAACCCTGACACCCTCGCTTAGAGTCAACAGCATTTTAGGCAATGAAAATGGACTTGACTCGAAGCGTTTTCTTAGACAGTAGTCCAGGTCCAGATATACGAGGTTCCTACGAAGAAGAGAGGCTCCAAGAGAACGGCGAGGGTCCAGTAAAGACTCTTGACCTCCTCAAAGCGACATCTGGAGTCCCTGAGCAGTGGCTGCTTCTCCTAAAAGATTTCTGAGGCAGGCCCGGCGACGACGTCGTCGTCGTCGTCGTCGGGCCTGCCTCGGTGCAGCGCTTCCCGCCCAGGCCGTGGCCGCGCACAGCGCACCCCGCCGCCGCGCGCGCGGCGGGCCACGCCGCGCATCCCCGAGCCGCCCCCCCCCCCCCCGGCGGCCACGGCACCGGGTGGGGTGCCGGGCGGCGCCCCCCGGAGATCTGCTGTCAGGTCGGGCATCTGCTCCCGCAGGCGAGTTGTGGGCGAAAGAGGCAGTACATCAAAAAATAGTCAAGAAGAACCCCAACCAGTCGAAGCATCGTCCCCAGACAATTTTTTGGATTGGACGGCTTTGCTTGAACATTCCCCCTGTAGAGGGACATACCCGACTCAACTCGAGACCCGGGGCAGCCCGGCCTTGCAGGATTCTGCAAGAGCCTGCAGGACCCCTGCAGGATCCTGGGACCGAAAGCACGGGTCAGTGCACTCGGGGGCGGCAAAGAGGGCGGCGTCCAAGGGGGGGTGTGCACATCATGGCCAGCGGCATGCCTATGCGTGGCCCGGGGGGGGTGCGGGGACGCATTGAAACCAGAAGAAGAGGCGCCGTGAACTCTGTGGAAATATCATGGCCCCCGTCATGACATCCACTCCCCCCCTTTATAGTCATCACCCCCCTCTTTGCCGCCCCCGACGCGCCCCGATCAGCCCCGCAGGATCCCGCCAGCTTCCGGCGCTCTGACGGGCCCCCGGTTTGCACCGACCCCCGTCTCTGGAGCCCCGCGCCCCGGCGCGGTGGGCGCCCGCAGGCCTGGTGGGCGCTGCGCCGCGCCGGGCCGCCCCGCCGCGAAGAGCGCAGAGGACGTCGCGCCGCTCTCGGCGCCTGGGTTTCGAGGAGGGCTAGCACAATAGCACCAGGACCTCGACACCTGGATTTTCCTGCCCACGCTTTGGGCAGTCCAGATAGGTCTATAAGTCTGGAGGGCTATTGCTGAACACTCTGGAAGGTCAGGTCCTGGTAACCGCCACCTAGCAGACCATCCCCTTCCCGGGCGTCGCTGGCGCCGCCGCCAGACCAGGCGCATCCCCTGACCGTCCAGCGTGCTAAAAAATAGCCCTTGCCTGTACAACAAAACGACAGGAGTTTCGACGTCGAGATCCTGGTGCTATTTCTTAGCCCTGCTGGAAGGTCAGGGTCGGGGCGGCGCCGCTTCCTGCGGGCCACCGTCGGCGCCGCGGCCTGTGCGGGACCCTGAGATCCTGGCGCTGCGATCTGTTCACACCCGGCGTTCTCGCCCCACTGCGGGCCCCAGGACCCTCACAGGACCACCCTGCGGCTCGAGAAAGGATGCAGAAAGATGGGGTCCGGGGCTCCAGTCGTGATTTTTGTTGCGATGGTACATGTCTTGTTCGCAGCGTCGGGGCTCAGGATCCGTGACGTCATCCTTGCCTTTCAAGCTTCCCACCGGCCGCATGCATGCGTCTCGGGGCGAGGCGAGGGGGGCATCGCGGAAGGGGATTGCGGGGGGTCGGTTCGGCCGCCCCCGCCTCTCGTGCCCTTTGTGGGCCCCAGAGGGCCACCCTATTAGGGCCCCGAAGGTGCACCACAAGGAGCACCTTTCTTCACTCCCCCCGTTTGTCGCCCCCCCATTGCACAGCGCCCGAGAGGAACGAAGTCCACGAGATCCCTGCGTTGCATTTGTGTCACGACGCGCGATTACGCCCGGACTCGGGCCACTTTGACCCTCGCAGGTCGATGCGTTTCGAGGAGTGCCGCAAAAAAGATAGGGTCTATGGCCACGGCGATGTTTCGAGTTTTCGCGACATCGGAACTCATAATCATGTGTATGTAGCACCCCACAGTTGCGGATAAGGAGTGAGAAGGCGACGAGGACGTCGGCAGTCTGCTATGCTCTGAAGAAGCCAACCGCAGGCGCCTCATTCTTACAAATTATGCAGTGTTCCCGCCGCAGGCGCCAAATTCGTTGTAAAAGCAATGTGGGTGGGTCGCAGGGTTGGTCGCGGTTGGGTCGCGGGTGGGTCGCGGGTGAGTCGCGGGGTGGGTCGCGGGTGGGTAGCGGGTGGGTCGCGGGTGGGCGGCGGGCGGGTCGCGGTCACGGGTCGGTCGCGGAGTGGGTCGCGGGGTCAGTCGCGGGTGGATCGCGGGTGGGTCGCGGGCCGGGTCGCGGAGGTGACGGCGACAACAAACAACAACAACAACAACAACAACAACAACAACACCAACAACAACAACAACAACAACATCAACAACACCAACAACAACAACACCAACACCACCAACAACAACAACATCAACGACAACAACAACACCACAACAACATCAACAACACCACCAACAACAACAAACACAACAACGACACCAACAACAACAACACCAACGACAACAGCAACAACAACACCAACAGCAGCAGCAACAACAGCAGCAACAACAGCAACACACCCAACAACAACTGAAATACCAATAACGGCAACATCAACATCAGCAACACCTATAACGACATATACAACTACATCAACAACAACAACAACAACAATTACTAGCACGTGGGGACACTCCGTTCTCACCAGTGCCAGGGATTTCATAGGAGGCGGGCAATACCCCCACTTTGTGGGGGGGCCAGTTCAAGCTCTACCAAATTTCCAAACGACTCTTCGCCACCACCCACACCCAGCTTCCCGCCCTATGACGTTCGGACACTTCACTTCGTGGCATGCGGACGACCGTGGCTACTATTCAGGGCCCCGCGGCCGACGACGACGGCGTGCGCGCGCGAAGAAAAAACGAATGTGTCCCGCATGGTATTATTTGACAGGGATGATGGCCCTGGCAGGTGCGCAACCGTTGTCGCAGAAGTTCGAAAAAGTTGCTCGCAAAAGCCCGTTTGACAGAAATGTTTAAAAAGTGTTGGGTTTCCTACGAATCCGCAAGAGCGCGCGGGATGAGATTTTGACAATTTTTTGTTGAAAAACCATTGGTTTTTTGATGTTTTTATGTTAAAATCGCTGCGAACACTAAGGTTTTGGAAGGATTTCGTCTTGCGCGCGCGAATGTCCACTTTACCTTATTTTTTGCAAGGGATTCTTGAAATTTGATTATATTAGAACAAGAAATGTCATTTTCTATTGTTTTTTGCAAGGGAAAGCGGATTACAACAAAACAACCGGATCCTGTACACACCCTCTTTTCTGAGGCTTCCTCACGAAAATGATGAAAATGTAGCTGCGGCCTAGGCGGCGCAGGGGGGGCGCGCACCAGGGGGCCCAACAATAATTATTCTTTAGAATAAATAATGTTCAACAACAACAACAACAACAACTACAACTACCACTGCAATTACATACGCATGTGTATATATATATATATATATACAAACGTATAACATATACAGCTACAACTACAACTACAACTACACCTACACCTACAACTACAACTACAACTACACCACCACCAGCAAGACTCCGCACCGCGAAGAACCTCACTTCAGCCACGCGTCCAGGGACAGTGACTGACCGTTCGGCCCCTCACTCTGGCTGGTGCCTAGCAGTGTGCCGATCAGTGCCTGGGAGCACCTCCCTGCGCCTCTTAGCGGCCACTGATGAACAACAGCAGGCGCTGGTAGCTGGGGAAGGCAACGACTCATGCTCAAGATACCTCTCCCGCGCACAACGCACCGGCTCAGGGCACCGAACTGCTGGGCGGCGCCCCGCTGCCCTCCAGGCCCTCTGGCGCTCCGGGGCCCCCATCGCGCCAGGAGGGAGCCCTGGCGGGAGCTTGCTCGCCAGGCTCGGCCTCCAGGGGCTCATCTTACAGGCGGGTTTTGGACGAAAGGTGAAACGGAGTCAGAAAATACCCAAACATGGTCAACAAAGATCCGTCAAAACATTAAGCGCAGTCAAGAAACATTCACCAAGGTCGAGGGATCTTCACCCTAAGACTTTTCTGCAAGAAATATTCACAGATGTCGAGGAATCGTCATCCTACGATTTTTCTACCATTCTTGACAGCTCCTCCAGCAGCAGGGAGAAGTCGGAAGCTGGGCGAGGGCCGCTAAAACCGTGGCTGCTAAAGCGGCCCTCCCGGAAGGAACAAACAACTTCCCGGAATGAGGCGCGGCACGCGAAACAGTCAACGGGCTTCTTCCCGGAAGGACGAAGACAACTTCCCGGAGGGTCGATTTAAGCAGCCACGGATTTAGCAGCCCTCGCCAGGCTTCCGAAAAAGCCGGGGCCGCTCCGGAGCCCAAAGGGTGGCCCCGACCTCTTCTCGGGAGGCCTCGGCTGCAAGCGGCTACTCCAAATCCCTTGTGGATCGTCCCCAGGGTCCAGTGTTTTGAGGCGCCCGCTTTTGTAATATTGGGGGGTCTGCTTTACTCGGGCGCTTTCTTTGGATTGGAGCTCAGGGGGTCTGGTTGATCAAGGCGCCCCATCGAAGAGGGGGGTCTGGAATATTAGGTCGCATTTGGAGGGGGGTCTGGTTTTTTAGGGGGGCGTCGATTAAGAAAGGATTTGGAGTACCCAGGTGGAGCCATTGTGGGGTCGGAGGACCACGCGCGCTGCATAGCCGCTGCATGGCCCGCGCCAGAATGGAGGACGTCGGGCTCCGACCGAAGCTGCTGTGGCCCCGCTTTGGCGGTCTGGATCCTCATCGAGACTCGAGGTTCGAATTCTGTGCCTCTGGGTAGCCTGGCCTGGCTGCATTTACATTTGAAATGATTGTCAGATTGCCATCTGGAGAGGTCCGGAGGTCGCCGTCGTCGTCCTGCTGCTACTGCTCCTCCTCTTCTTCTGAGCAGGAGAAGAAAACTTCGACATGGGCGCACAAATGGGCACGCGACTCTTTCAGTTGCGCTGTGGGCGCTAGGTCAACTGCGACCGCACACTGAATCTCCAGTCTCCACTTCCCCCTCGCAATCAACCCTCATGCGACGCAACCAATATCGACAAGACGGTCCAATCACCACTTTTATTGTTCTGCAGCGTGACCTGGAAGGCGACCTCATTCCCAGCTCACTCCCCCTCTCGAAACAGCTGTATACGCCGAAGTTGCAACCTCGTCTGCATTGCAAGCGATACTTGACGTCGTATTCCTCAGTATCTGTCGAGTCTCGTGCCACCATCTTGCTAACACGAGGAACAGGGCTCGACCGAAACAGTGCTTTTCGTTTATATACGCTTTGCTTTCGTTTCCCCCCGTTCTGTCTGCGATCGCCTTTGCAGCACGTGGGGAACCTTCTTTGTTGTTCGGCGTTTCGACATTGGGCGAACGGGGGGGGGGCAGGGGGAGGGGGTCTGGCTCCAGACTTCTGCTTAGCGCGACTGTTTGCAGCAGTGCGCCCCATGGGGGAGACGCCACCTGCCTGAAACGGGCGCCATGGGAGGGGGGGGGCCCTAACCTTCCAGGAGGGCTAAGAACTACCACCAGAACCTCGACACCTAAATTCCGGTCGACGCTTTAGGCAAGCCAGATAGGTCTATAGGTCTGGAGGGTTATTTTTTAACACTCCGGAAGGTCAGGGGGCGAGAGGGGGTGCGAGGACCCGCGCCGATCGGCAGAACAATGAATCAGAAAACGGTCACGTGCCACGAAATCACCGAAGCACAGTTTCGGCCCAGCCACGGCGAGGAACGTCGCACGAGGAACGACGAAGGGGGCTTCTGTCATGGCGACGCGAGCACCTGCTCTCACGAACGGGTGCTCCGCCCTAGGAATCCAGGGGGCGGCCCCAAAAGCAGGCCCTCCTGAGGCCAGAGTGATCCTCCTCCTCATCCTCCTCCTCCTCCTTCCTTCCTTCCTCCTCCTCCCCTCCCTCCTCCTCCTCCTCCTCCCCCTCCTCCGCCCTCCTCCCTCTCCTCCGCCCTCCTCCTCCTCCTCCTCCTCCTGCTTCGCCCCTTCCTTCTCCCCCTCCCGCTGCTGCTCCGGCTCCTCCTCCCCCTCCTCCTGTTCCTCCTCCTCCTGCGACAGCTGTGTTCTAGAGCTCGGACCCCTCTCTTTTCGTCGTCGTTCGTTCCTTCGCTCGTCGCCCCCCAGCTTTACTTTTGTCGGGGAGACGTAAGACTCGGGCCCGGGGGGCCCGGGTTGGCCCGACGGCGCCATAATGAAAATGACGATGCCCAATCTGAAAATTGACGCTAGGTTCCGCTGCAAATATCCCACGAAAACTGGACCGTCAAAATCCAGGACGCGCTCGTCAACAGAAACCGGCAAATCCGAGTTCCGGCTTACACGAGTCTTACGCTTCCCCGATTCTGAGATCGCGAGGACGTCGTCGACGCGAAGTCATCCCGTCTCATCGGCGCGTCGGCCCGAGTCGATGTCTCGGACGCAAGTGCGCGCTCGCTCGTCGGGCCAACCTGCCCCGGCGCTTGTCTACCCGAGGATGAGGGCGCGAGAAAGGGATGCCGAATCCTTCAAGTCGAATTGGGCGCCCATGCGGATGAAGTGTAGCGCGCCCCCTACCCTGTTTGCAGCGCCACAGACATGCTGGGGCGGGGCTGCGTTGTAGGCCCCCGATTTGGTGTAGACGGACGCAGCGAAGATACCTTCGTCGCGAATTTGGTGGCGGCCAGTCCATCTAGCTCTCCGCCTTGCGGCGGAGGTGAGAGCCAGGACGGGCCACGAGGCTTCCGTCCATCCTGTAGTCTCGAGGATGCGCGCGAAATTGGGTCGTCCATGGACGCGTCCACCAACGCTCCTTGCGCAGCGATGCTGGCATGCCCCTCCGTGCGCTGGCGGTCGCGGAACGCGCCGTGTGGTCAGTGCCTCCACCCGTGCCCTCTGCGCTGGAAATAATCGCCCGCGGAGTTGCGACCCCGCGGAGGTCGCCCGCTCCGTTTTCTGCCGAGCAGATGCTTCTGTCGAAAATATGAATGCGGTCGGCGGGGTAGCTATTTTCCTGGAGGGCCAAGATGGTGGCTCCCTGAGGATCCCGAAGCTTGGTGGGAAGGTCCCGTGAGGCGTCGAGGCTGGGAACGTTGGCCCTGACGAAATCGGCCTTCTGTGGACCGTCTCCATCAGTGGAGCTGGTGTCGCCTCTGGCTTTTCGGCGCTGCCGCAGCGCAGTGCGCTGCAGGGCGTGGCCTCTGCTGGACAGTCCCTTAGGAAGCAGACGTAGGAGGGGCTAGTGAAGGACCCGAGGGAAGGGTGGAGAAACAATCCCAAAGGACGGGTGAACAAACACTCCCACCGAAAGAACACACCTTGCCACGCTTGGCGGCCGCCGGGACAGGATCGAGGGGGGGGGGACGCAGCGGCGACTGACGACGGCGCGACGTGGGGAGGCGTCGTCGTCAGCGCCGCTGCCAGGAAAAGCGAAAGCAACAGCGAAAATAAAAAAAAACTGCCGCGCTCGTAGCTGCACTCCGGCGCGGCCACTCCCGCGCACGCCGCCGCGCCTGCGCAGGCCTGCTCCGCAGCCTCGATGTCCTCGCCGATGTCGATGTCTTTGCTGCCGTCCCCGAAATCGACCTCCGAGCCGTCGACATGGGCCTCCTGAAACCATTGGCTGGTGCCTTCGCTGTCCAGTTCCTGTCTCGGTGGCTGGATGGCTGCCTGGATGGATGGCCTGAACAGCCCGTGCGCTGGCGCCGCAGCCTCACGGGTTTCGAGCACCAAAAACAAAGGTTTGATGGTGCCGCGCGTGGGGCTTTTGGACTCGCCGTGGACAATGCACCCTGCTGGCGTGCTAGGTACACAGGTCCCCGAAAAAACTGCGGCCTTGCTGCCGCCACGGAACTGGCACTCGGGCTGCCATCTTCTGGCGTGGCGAATCGGGCGTTGCCTTCGTGCGCAGCGAAGCTCGGAGCCTCGCTGGGTTGGAGGTTTTTGGGGGGCGTGTTAGTCTGGCATGCCGCGTTCCCGAAACTTGCTTTGCTGAATCCGCCTCGCTGGGATATCCGACTGGTGAAAGATCACGTGTGTGGGGTACCCTTGCTTTCTGCGTGTCGGGCCCGTGGGGCTCGAGCTTTGGAGCCACGCTCTGTGGCGGTTATCTGGGTGGGGCTTTGGGCCAACGCCACCTGTTCAGCAGTGTAATATGGGCTGATTGTGTCCAGCAAGGCTTTGTCTGTGGTGCCCGTCAATTATGGTTTCGGTCTCGCGCTGGCTGGTGCCGCTTTGTGGGGTATGCCTTGGTTTGTCGTCCTTTGGGACTCCCGATGGTGGCCTCGGTGGGGTGACCCGTCTCGGCAACCGCGACGGCGAGTCCGAGGACGTTCCTCTCAGAGAGAGAGAGAGAGGGAAAAGGAGAGAGAGAGAGAGAGAGAAAGAGACAACCAGAAAACGAGAAAGGGAGGGACAGAAACAGATATGGAGAGAGAGAGGGGGAGAGAAAGAGAAAGAGAGAGAGAGAGAGAGAAGGCGAGAGACATCTTCACATGTGTCAAAATAATACGATGCGTGTGTGTCGAGGGGGTGAAGGGCAAGGGAGGGAGAGGGTGAGAGAGTGAGAAAGAGAGAGGAAACGATTGATGAATGCGCACCCTCCCTCCCTCCGCGAATGTGAAGGTACCAAGCATGGCCGCCAGCGACTGCAAGGCCACATAAATTCCGACCTGCCCCGGCAGATATACTTCCTCAAGTGGGTTCGCATTTCTACTGCAATTGACCGATGTAAAATTTCAAGTCGCGGGCATCAAGCACCGCGATCGACATGGCCATTTCTCCAGGCCACCCTCGCACCATCCTGCCCGCTTGTGCGAGCCCGACGTGCCCCGTCTCACGACCACTGCCCTATTCCCTCCACCACGCACAAAGACATAGGCAGAGAAGGGATAACAAAACTTACGCAGACTGTGCACACATACATCGTCACATGGAGAGGGACAGAAAACGCGAGAGAAAGGGCAAGCGAGAGAGAGAGAGAGAGCAATGCAGAAAGAGGAAGAGAAAGAGAAATAGAGAGAGACTAAAATTCGCCTTTCGAGAACACAGTATCAACGTCGACTTGCCCACCAGTGCAATTGGGAACCGATCCCAAGCAGAGACGCTGGGCAACCCTCCCCTCATCCATCTTCCAGGTCATTTCGCCAGCGACGCCGAAGGCAACGGAGACCGCGGGGTTCAGATGAGCGCCAGAAACCTGCGCCCAACACATTCCCTCAGGCAGGCCCCCATCCTGTCAGGAAGACTGGAAGAGAAAGCGCAAGCGTACTAGGCGTCACTTTCGAGAACGGGCAATCAAGAATTCCAAGGCACACCACGATGTCCTTAGTCTACCATCGCTAAGATAGGTGTAGCCAGCCCGTACAATAAGGACGCACGATAAGGATGCAAGGGCCTTCGAAAGCCATGCCGGCACTTTGCCAGCGGGGCGCGGCCAGCGAAAGCGGCCAAGGATGAGCCGAAGGCGAAGGATACGAGGGCCAGTTTGGAAAGTCCCTCATCCTTACCATGCGGGCTGACCGTAGACGACGATAGCAGAGCAGCTGTGTGCTCGGATGCCCGCGCGGATGTTATGGGTCCGCGCTTCGGACGGATCCCCCACCCCCGGCGCGACGCCCGGGGGGGGGCTCCAGCGCCGACCCAGAGCATGCCCGCGAACCCCCGAGGAGGCTGCCATCGGAAACCAGGAGCCCGGGAACGCGAGCCCAGGCACACGGGGCCTGCTCGCCGAGAGCCCCGGGCCCCCGCGAGCGGACCCGGAGCGATGCCCGCTCCAGGCACGGGGCATCTGGACGAGCGCGTTCCACTGCTCGCAAAGTGACTACTCGCAAGTGGCCTGGATCCCCCGCGGAGGATCTACGATGAATTGCATGAGATCAGACACGTGTTTTTTTCCGGACGTTTTCGAGTGGGCACTTTGCGAGTAGTGGAACGCGCTCGGTGAAAATCAGTCGTGGACAGACCTCCCTTTAGCAAACCTCCCTTTCGTGACAACGGCCTGGGACCGAAACCGACGGACCTGGACCCGCAAACATGACGGCCGCGACGCCCTCTCGCGAAGCGAAAACGGCCAATTCGCTAATCGACGTGTCAGGATGGGGGGTCTAACATTTAGTGTCTGTTCCATGGGGGCCTGCGTGGCCCCCAGCACTGTCCAATTTGGGCCTGATTTGGACCGGATTTGGAACAAATCTGGACCGGATTTGGACCAGACTTGGACTGGATTCGTGGGGGCTAGGAGAGCGAGGAGGGGGAGGGGGAACAGGAATGCGGTCCACATGCAGGAAAAGCTGATTTCAGTGTCGCCGCCTAAGGCTCCCAATGATCAGACATCGAACTAACAACCTCCGAGGGAGGCGAAAGATTACGTAAACATAAGAGCTCGGAGATCCTCGCGGGGGCGACATATCTGAAGGGGCCCCGGGACACACAAATAAATACACACAAATAAAAGGATTCCCCATACTTTCCCATGTGTTCTGGGTTTCTGTCTTCCCCCCCACATCCCATATTCTCCCATCTTTTCCTGGGAATCGCCGATTAAGTGTGTCTGTGTGTTTCTCCCCCTCCTGAATGTCGAAGGGCCCTCGGCCCGTCCAGCAGCTCTGCCCGGGCCGTGTGCCAGATGCCTCCGGGGAGCAGGCGGCGTTCCACGTGGCAGCGCGAGGGGCGAAGGACCCTGACCTTCCAGGAGAGCGTTTCTTTATGTCTGGCGATGACGGGCGTCATGGGGGGGGGTCCCGGGGGGGGGTATGACGTAACGCTCCCCCCCTCCCCCGCCGTGTGGCTCCGGCACCACAGCCGCGCCCGCGCGCACGACGCGACGAGCGACGAGCGACAAGCGACGACGACGACGACGCGAGCAGCATGTAAGTGGCGATCTGCCCCCCTGCGCCGTCCAGGAGGGCTGAAAAATAGCACCAGGACCTCACCACCCAAATTCCTGTCGACGTTTCAGGCAGTCCAGATAGGTCTATGGGTCTGGAGGGCTATATTCTTGAACACACTGGAAGGTCAGGGGAAGCAGGTGGGGGGGGACCGACAACAGGGGAACGGGAAATGGCAGAGACATACGAGCTCGGGGGTCCGTACAAAATTCTCGGATTGGCGCTGGACCTCCCTCCTTGGCGCGCGGAGCGCGCCAGGGGCGGCGCCGGGGGCGGCGCCAGGCGGGTCCAACGCCGATCCAAGAAGTTTGCGCGGACCTCCGAGCTTTGATGTTCATGTCACTGCTCGTTCCCCTAAGCTTAAGTCGGGCCTGTCCCCCTACAGGGGGATTTACGATGAGAAATAAAAAATACATCAAAAATACTCCAAAAATAATGCAAACATAGTCTGGGGACTATTTTTGTTCATATGTTTTGCCATTTTGGGGTAGTTTTGGATTTGTTTCATTCTTCGTCGAAAATCCACCTGTAGGGGGACACGCCAGGCATAACCCTTAGGTAGAGATCCCCGACACGAAGCACCCTGGGGTTCCCCGGGCTGTCCTGGCACCTCGTGCGCGAGCTGCATGCTCATGTTTTGGGTGACCCAAAAGGAGTTCCAGCTGAATGGGGGTGGTGCACTGGATTTTGAGCAATTGAACTGCACATGTACTGCGCCGGAGACTCGTATTGCACTGTCTTGCAAGTGCTGCGCTGCACGCGGGAATCCAGCAATACGTTTGCGCCTCGGAGTGTATTGCACGCCCCACATGTAGTGCAACTCTTCAGATCTATTGCACCAAATCTATTGCCCCACCCCCTTGGCGCTGGACCCCCTTTTGGGTCAGCCCTACGTGCGGCCGCTTGCCCCCCGACTTCTCATCGCACTACCCGCGCCGAGGGGGCCGCGAAGAGCGCCGCACGGCGCCTTTCCCGCTCCCCCCGGCAGCGCGTCCGCACGCACGCACCGTCCCCCCCCGCCCCCAGCGCGGCGAAGACAGTCCCACGCCCTCTCGCGCTGTGAGAAAATCACGCGGGAGGTTTTTGACTATTTTCGACCTCCCAGGGCCCTCGCTGGGCCCCAAGGCCGTCAACAAAACGACCGAGGACGAAAAACCGGTCCTGGGGAAGGGGGTCCAGACCTCTGGGAGTCGACGCTGTGAAGAAATCACAACGTCGGGGGTCTGGGGTGGTGGATGAGCAACAGGTCCAGAAGAGCAGAAATCACAGTGCAAACATAACCTTCATCGTTGGAGGATCGCCCAGCTTATCACAGCGCGTCAACCAATCGAGCAGGCGCGCAGTCGTCTATGTGCGGTCTGGTGTGACACTCGTTCGTGTCCAATGCTCGCCTGACATCTTGTTTCATGTGCCAACAATTTCCACGCGGATACGGTACCAGACTATGTGATCGACTGGACACAACACATAACATGCAGAGAGTGGAACCACAACTTATCTTAACAAGTATGCAAACATATCATTCGAAATATGTAAACTGCTAGACTTCAACACATTGCGATTGCACGTCGGACTCCACCCGCCCGGCTACATTGTAGAGTGAATACGTCAAGGCCGTCACTGCACCAGCGGCATAAAGAGGTACCTGTAAGAATGGGGAACGACTGTGCAACACGATGCTCAATAGTGAAGTGAAAGCAGCTGCACGCCATAAGTTGTATCCCTAGTTGAGTTATGATGTGCAACTGCTGTAGACGACATCTGTCAAACCAAACATGTCATTTATGAATTGCACCTCGTGGTCACTGATTCCCCCGCAGCTGCGCTTTCCGCTTTGTGCGCCATGGCAGCGCTACCATTTTGCTGCTCTGACAACACTTCTTCATCCAATTGGAAACACGCTGGACATGAACAGAAGAGGGCAAAGGCCTGAGAAAAGTGTGCCTGAGCACTGAATATATCAGAGGCCTCACCAACAATGTCGAGGCAGGCTACGACGATCACCAAAATGTATGTCCTCATGCAAGACATATTTTACTGTATCCAACTAAGCCTGGCTATCGTGTCTACGTTTTCATGTGACTCCACCGCTCACGTGTAATACATCATGCCCTAGAACGGTCGCGTGAACACAACTAGGCGCACAATATCACAGTACACACGCGTGCAAGCGACGTAACATGCATTGACGCATGTATGTGCGTACGTGTCACGAGGGCTCATGGATACACGAATCGCGTTAAGTGCATGCGGGCGATCACAAACGCACTAGCAAATGCACCTGCTTCACAACACACGTATATTTCGGATATAGCAAAACTTGGTGCTGTGATGCGCCTGCGAGATGTAATGTGCCCGTGGATATTTAACTGTGGTGCGATGTCTGAAGCCGTTAGACCGGAATCGACAACGCGGATAGCAGACACGGTGGTCATATGGCCCATCGTCTGTGAACATGGCGTGGCCAAATACGTGGAATTTCCGCCATTCTTCAGTCGATGGCACTGCGTAGAATATCAGGAGCGCAATGTGTCACTCCATCCTGAAGGCTGATCGCTGTACGGAATTTCGTTGAACCCTCTATGAACAGCTTCCCGTAACCGAGATCTGCCGAACTCCGTACGCAGGCCACCCGTGCTCATCATGCTCGGTTCGTTGGGTGGTCGGCCCGCGCGTTGACCGCTTTTGGCTTCCACTCCACCAGATCCGCCAGTGGGACACGAGTTTGCCATCCTCTCGCAAACAAGGCCGCCAACGACCGAGACATGTGCACAGATACTGGCCAATTCGCCTCCGAGGCTGCTGCCTTCGAGTGCCATTTGGAAAGGCAGCAACCGCGTCGCATTCCACACGAAGCCGCGCTCGTGCCGAGACCGACCGTCCGGGTGCGGCCCCATGCCCTGCGAACTGTCCAAAGTCTCGTGCCCGCGCGACAGTGGCCTCCGGGAGATGGAGCGGAGTCCACGGCGCATGTCGGCGGCGAGCCTAGGGGGGGGGAAGTGAGGCGCGGGCCAGCCTCCTCGGAAGGCGGCGGGGCTTCTCGGATGCCATCCAGCTTCCTGGGGAGCCGTCGGTGGCTTCGGCGGGGGCCCACACGGCTTCTCAGAAGTAACAGGGGCTTCTGAGAAACCCCGTCTGCTTCTGAGAAGGCCTGTCCGCTCTCAATTCTCCCCTGGGCTCGCCACCGAGCATGGTTTCATAGACAGTTCAGGTAGTTGCCACTCAAGGTACTGCACGACACTACCCCCTCCGCTGGAGCTGGACGGGGGCGGTCGCGAGGTGTCAAAAGGCACTTGTTCGTCCAAGATGGCTCCAAGACGGCCTCAGAGCCCAAGATGGCCTCCATGATGGCTCGAAGTAGCGCTAGGTCGCTCAAGATGGCTTCCATAGATGCTCCCAGGGGCCCCAAGACCGATCCAAGACGGCTCCAAGTGGTCAAAGCGCTCGCAAAGGAAGCCCCGAAGAGGCCAACGATCCGTCCAAAACCGAAGGAACATCACGGTGAGTTGCTTTCTCGCCTTTTCGATTCCGATGGCCATCCGAGGCATAAGAATAACTCCAAGATGGCCCAAAAGGGCCCCTAAGAGCGGCTAAATAGAGCCCCAAGACGGCCCCAACAGCGCCCAAAAGCGCCCCCAGAGCGTCCCAAGAGCGCTCCAAGAGGCGATGTTTGGGGCTCCCGAAGGGGGAGGCGAATTGAAGTTCCCACCTTTTTTGATCGATGTCCTCCAAGATGGCCTCAAGAGAGCCCCTCAAACTCCCCAGAGCGCCCCAAAAGAGCCCCAAGAGGCGCCCTGACGGCCCCAAGAGGTCTCCAAGAGGCGCCCAAGAGACCCCCAACAAGCCTCAAGAGAATCCCCGAGACACCCAAGACGCTCAAAGACGGCCCTGGCCCCGCCAAGATGCCCCCAAGACTCCCAAACAGGCCTCCACAAATCTTTCAAGACACATTCGAGGAGACTCCGAGAGGCATTTATGAAGCTCCTGGCTCTCTCCCTCATCCACCTATTCCTCCTCCTGTCTTCTCCCTCATCCCCTCCCACCTCCTCCACCTTCTCCTCCTTCTTCTCCTTCTCGTCGTCCTCGCCTTCGCCCTACTCCATCTCCTCCTCCTCCGTCTCCTCCTTTTCCTCCTCCTCCAACGACGACGAAATATCCCAAATCCTTCTTCTCTTCGGGTATATGACGGCTTCCACCGCCTTCTGGTCTTCTGCATGTTCCCCCGCTTCCCTGATCACCTCAACTCCCCTGGGCATCGTTTTTGCATGGGCTGGTGGTGATACTTTTTTGGGTTCGCGGCTCCAAGGCAAAGGTCAGGGAGCGGACGCAGCGTCCGGGATGCGGCACGGAGCGAATTTGCGAACACAGCCGCCACTATCGGCAGCCAGTTCGCACCTGCAAGACACAAGGCTGGTGGTGACACGCGAAGCGTCAACAATTTGACCGGACCATACAGGAAGCGAAAGTCTGGGTCTCTGATCTCGAAGGCTTCCAAGGCGATGTTGTACTCTTCTCGGGTGGCTCACCTGTCCGCTCGGGGGGTATTCTGGGCATCTTGAGCCGCCCTGTGGCAAGCTGCCCTGCAGGCCATTTCTGCCGCACTCGGAAACGGGCTGTGGGCATCCCATGGCGGACCCTGGGCCCCGGGACCCCCATGTGGAAACCCGTGCTCGTGCACCGTGGGACGCGGACTCGGATTGCGCCTCGCCATTCCTGGGCGCTGCAAACTGCAAAATTGCTGCCGCTTTCGAGGTCTTCTGGGGTGCCTGTCGCAGTGAATCCACACGCGGACTCAAATCAGACCTCGCCATCATGCACACGGTGCCATAGCACATCCGCGACCATGCATACTCATGCGCACTGATGTGGTGACGTCAAGTTGCCACACGCTGCTACTTCGTGTTGGATCCCTTGCCTTGCGACTGCCGCCTGCCCTCACCGTCGCAACTCAGAACTCGCGCCTCTCCCAACGAATGCAGGTGGCAAACACGTGTTCGCAAGCACCGTTGACACTGCTGAGGCGCTGGGTCAGGCAGACGCGGCAACCACGCAAACGAAACAGCATCTACGCGTCCCGAGGAGCTCAGCGAGGTAACGGGCCCAAATGCTTGCCATTCTTCGATAAAGCGGACATCCATGGCCAGAGTGTGTGCCTGACAAACAACCAGCCTGGAACAACAGTTGAGCCGAAAATGCATGTGGAGCAGAAACAACCCTACAAGACCCAAAGCTGGAACCCACTGCAGTGCGCGCATGTCGCACGCATGGCTGCGAAAGGTATGACTATACGCATCGAGACGATGTACAAAGCACCACGTCGGAAAGCAAGCTGGCTCACCACGTGTGAAACTATTGCGCGCAATAGTGCCACGCAGCTTGCGTAGTGTCCTCGTGACCCGATGAGCGGTGCATCGACCCTCCAAAACAGCAAAGAGCGGTCACTGATGCCAAGATGGTGCCCAAAATTGAGCAGGGACCGACCGTCCCGGCATTTCTATAGTTCTACCACGAAATTTTCTTAGAACCCCAAAATGTTCTAATCACAAAAACAATGTTCTTAGAACTTAAGCCTCATCTGTTAAAACGAGACAGCCCCAGCCAGAAATGTTCTAAGAACAGTTCGTGGGAATCACAAAAGGTTCTTAGAACATTGTTTGGTGGGGCTAAAGGCGAGCCGAGACGCTTTGCCTCTGCTTGACACAGGCCGCGTGGTCGAAGCAGCCGCTCGGACTCCCCCAACGCGTCAGCCCATGGGGAGCTTCCGACGGCATCGACGGCATCGGCGCAACACGGCGGCCTCCGATCTCGCAGCGCCTCGGACGCCTGCGCTCGCAAATGTTTCGGTGGCAGGACGGCCGCTTCTGCCCGGCGCCGTCAGAAGTAGTTCCTGCACCACCTGGCGGGTTCCACAAACCCTGCACTTGAGCAGGGACCGACCGTCCCGGCATTTCTATAGTCCTACCACAAAATGTTCTCAGAACCCCAAAATGTTCTAAGAACAAAAACAATGTTCTTAGAACTTACGCCTTGTGCGTTAAAACAAGAAAACCCCAGCCAGAAATGTTCTAAGAACATTTCGTGAAAATCACAAAAGGTTCTTAGAACATTGTTTGGTGGGGCTATAGGCGAGCCAGGACGCTTCGCCACTGCTTGATGCCCCCGAGAAAAATTGACATCTCTCGGGGGCACATTCCCTACTTCCGCCGGCTTAGGCGCCACCATTTTACGTCCGCCGCTCTCCTTCCCGCCCAGGAAGAAATGCCAACTCCCATGACCCCCAGCGTCGCCTGCTTTTCTCGTGACGTGAAATCTCCGAATCCTCAAGAGGTCTGGACCCCTTTCCGGGGACCAGTCTCTCATCCGGAATCGCCGGCTGAGGCAGGCTGAGGCTGAGGCAGGCTGAGGCAGGCTGAGGCTGAGGCTGTGACTGCGACTGCCGTTGCCACTGCGACTGTCATCGCGAATGCGACTACGACTGCGAGAACAGCAGAATTCTACAACTGGATTCTCATCTGAATCTTAAGGGGAATGCTTCCAGATATATATGCTCCTACACATCGCTGTTAGGTTGCTTTGCCGGGATAATTTTCATGTGGGTGGTAATGGGGGGTGACCGGACTGGGGGATGAAGAAGAGGGCCCCAACGCCGCCCTTTGGGTACCCCTCTGTGAGCCGGCAGGGGCACCCCAGTACCCTGACCTTCCAGGAGGGCTAAAACATAGCACCAGGACCTCGACACCTAAATTCCTGTCGACGTTTTGGGCAGTCCAGATAGGTCTATAGGTCTGGAGGGATGTTTTTTCTGACACTCTGGAAGGTCAGGGTAAGGCCCCCCCCCCTGGTTACTGCCCGCCCGACTCTTGACGACCCCGAGGCCAGGCACGGGCCCCCAGGGGCCGAAGTTACCGACGAACCACCCGTCATTGCCCGTTCACGACGCGGATGGGGTCTGGGCCCTCGGACGAGGCGAGGCCCTCTTTGCGGGGCGTGTCCTCAGACTCAAGCGCGCTCACTTGCATGGCGACTCCCCCGTCCTCCCCCTCAGCCCCCCCTCTCACCAAACCCCCTCGCGTTGAAAGCATACGGAATTTGTTCGCAATTTTCGGCCTTTGAGGGGCCCTTTCCAGATATCGGGACCGTCAATAAAAAACAGGTCCCGCGGAAGGGGTCCAGACCTTGTGGGGCGTTTTACTGTAGACTCTGGCAAATTCACTTGCATGGCGTCCCCCCCCCCCTCCCCCATACACCGCTGCTTAGCCTTGATCAGAGCGAAGGGACCGAACGGTCATGCATTGTCCCTGGGTGCGTGGCTGCGTGGTGAGGATTATGTTGGTGTTGTTGTTGTTGTTGTTGTTGTTGTTGTTGTTGTTGTTGTTGTTGTTGTTGTTGTGATTTTTGTTGTTGTTGTTGTGATTATTGTTGTTGTTGTTGGTTGTTGTTGTTGAATGTAATACTAAACAATTATTATTGTTGGACCCCCCAGGCGCTTAGGCGCCTTCGCTTCGGCGCCGGCTACATTTCATTGAAAATGAGGCTCACGCTCGAGCGGTTTGGGGGGGCGCCAAAACGGGCCCCCAACAACAAGAACGCTCCCTCTCGAGACTTCCTCCTTCTTTACTCAGGGCCGGTGCTCTTGCTCGCCGCTGAAAGCCGCCGTCCCAACAAAACCAGCGCTGCCGCTCGAGACTTCCTCCCGTTTTACCTTGGACTGGCGCGCTACTCTTTCTGTCATCGGCGCCGCCGCCGGCAACAACGACGCTACCGCTCAAGACTTCCTCCCTTTTTTTTCTCAAGGCGGTGCTGCTCCTCGCCTCCGAAAACCGCCGTCCCGACAAAACCAGCGCTCCCGCCCGAGAGTTCCTCCCGGTTTACGCTGGACTGGCGCCCTGCTCTCTTTTGAATTGGTTCCGTTCCCAGCAAGAACGACGCTCCCGCTCGAGGCCTCCTCCCTTTTTCCTCAGGACGGTGCTGTTCCTCGCCGCCGACAGCACCCGTCCCGACAAAACCACGGCTCCCGCTCGAGACTTCCTCCCTTCTTACTCAATGCGGTGCTCCTCCTCGCCGCCGACAACCGCCGTCCCGACAAAACCAGCGCTCGAGCTCGAGATTTCGTTTTGTTTTACGCTGGACTAGCGCCCTACTCTCTTCAGCATTGGCGCCACTCCCAACAACAACCGCGGCCCTGCTCGAGACTCCCCCCGTTTCTATTCAGGGACAGGTCCTTGCATTGCCGCCGACAGCCCCAATCCCTACCAAGGCAATCCTGTCGCTCGATCCTTCCTTCTGCATTACCCTTGGCTGGGGCTCCACTGGCGGTCTCGCATCGGCACAACAAGGCGCGGGCATGCGTTTTCGTGGCGGGATCTGTTGAAATTCCTCGGAGGAAGTGTTTGCAAGACCTCATTGGGCGGGAGATCTGGGAATGGTGATAACGGATCCCGCTATAGAACAATAGTCGCCCATGATGGGGTTGGTTATCATGATGACCGAATGCTTGGTGTGGAAACATCGCGCTTGAGGGTAAAATTGTTGTTGCTGCTGCTGCTGTTGTTGTTGTAGTTGCTGTTGTTGTTGTTGTTGCTGCTGCTGCTGTTGTTGTTGTTGTTGTAATTGTTGTTGTAATTGTTGTTGTTGAACATTATTAATTCTAAAGAATAATTATTGTTGGGACCCCTGGTGCACGGCCCCCCTGCGCCGCCTAGGCCGCAGCTACATTTTCATCATTTTCGTGAGGAAGCCTCAGGTAATTCGATGTGATCAAGATCCGGTTGTTTTGTTCCCCCCCGCTTTCCCTTGCAAAAAACACTATAAAATGACATTTCTTGTTCTAATATAATCAAATTTCAAGAATCCCTTGCAAAAAATAAGGTAAAGTGGACATTCGCGCGCGCAAGACGAAATCCTTCCAAAAGCTTAGTGTTCGGAGCGATTTCAACATAAAAACATCAAAAAACTAATGGTTTTTCAACAAAAAAATGTCAAAATCTCATCCCGCGCGCTCTTGCGGATTCGTAGGAAACCCAACACTTTTTAAACATTTCTGTCAAACGGGCTTTTGCGAGCAACTTTTTCGAACTTCTGCGACAACGGTTGCGCACCTGCCAGGGCCATCATCCCTGTCAAATAATACCATGCGGGACACATTCGTTTTTTCTTCGCGCGCGCACGCCGAAATCTCCAAAAACCATTGGGTTCTTAAGAATTTTAGCACCGCGCATCATAAAATCACACGAATCGCACCGTAGGTCCTCGAAAAACAGCTGCACGACTTTTCAAAATTTCCACCCGCGCGCGCTGTCCGAATCCTAAAAAAAACAATGGTTTTCCAACATGTATGTTACATGAGCTCGCGCGAGCTTTTTGCTCGCGCAAAAATGTGACCAACTCCGCTCTCTCTGTCTCTCTCTCTGTCTGCTCTCTGTCTCTCTCTCTGTCTCTCTGTATTATGTATTGTATGGCACAATTGCACCATGCTGGGCACATGCGCGCCCCGAATAAGTGACCAAGTTCTGTGGGTGTGTACCCCACGCCAGTGTAGTAGCCACGGTCGTCCGCACGCCACGAAGTGAAGTGTCCCAACGTCATAGGGCGGGAAGCTGGGTTTGGGTGGTCGCGAAGAGTCGTTTGGATATTTGGTAGAGCTTGTAATGCCCCCCCACGAAGTGGGGGTATTGCCTGGTGTCGTATGAAAACCCTGGCACTGGGGAGAACACCACGCGTTCGGGTAAAATGATTGTTGTTGTTGTTGTTGTTGTTGTTGTTGTTGTTATTTGTTGTCGTCGCCCCCCCTGCGACCCGCCCGCGACCGCCCCGCCACCCACCCCGCGACCCACCCCGCGACCCACCCCGCGACCCACCCCGCGACACACCGGCGACTCACCCGCGCCCCACTTCGTGACCCGCCCGAGGCCCATCGGCGACCCACCCCACACCCCACCCCGCGACCCACACGCGACCCACCCCACGACTCACCCCGCGACCCAGCCCGCGACCCACCGGCGACCCAGCCCACCCGCGACCCACCCGCGACTCATACGCAGCCTACCGGCGACCCACCCGCGACCCACCCGCGACTCACCCCGCGATCCACCCACATTGCTTTAACGAAAAAATCGGCGCCTGCGGCGGGCCTACTGCATAATTTGCAAAAAATAAGCGCCTGCGGCGGACTTCTTCAGAGCCTCGCAGACTGACGACGTCCTCGCCGCCCCGTCACTCTTATCCGCAACTGCGGGGTGCTACGTATATTGTAAACTCGAAACATGAACTTAACTCCGAGCGTTGTCTCGAACCGTAGTCCTAGTTTAGAAATGCGGCTTTTCCCACGAGGACACACCTCTAGGAAATCCCTCAGGGTCCAATTCAAATTCTAGATTCTCTTAGGCGGTGTCTGGAGTCCATGGGTTTTGAAGTTTTTCTTAAGAGCTATGATAAGTGTCAGACGAAGCTGGGAAGAGGACAAAGTCGGACGATGATAAGTCGAGAATATGTGATCCTGCGGCTCTGGAGGATGTCTCGGGCGCCGCGGCATTCTCAAAGCGTTCCAGAACGCTCTCAGAGGTTTCCGGAACGCTCGGGAACTGATTTTCCTCGTCCTAGCCCCGTCCGATCCCCCCTCGTATATCCCCAGGACGAAAGATTTTTCCTCTTGGGCCTGGAACGACGACTTCAAGTCTTGAGCAAACACGTATGATATAATCGCCGTCGGAATCCCGTGAAGTTCGCGCGGATGCAAGTGTGGCTTTGGTGTCTGTTTCGGTGGATCCGATATCCGTCCGCGCGGATCCGATTTCGGATATGTTGGAACCGGTCTTCGGTCTTGTCATTTTACGGCGGATCTGGGTTTTCCCCCGCTGTAAATTCATATTATTAAACGAAAGAGGGGAAGCGGAGGAAATCGGATCCGCGGACCCCAGAACCCGCCCGTGTTAAGATTCTACGGGGAAGGGGGTTCGGTCATGAACTTCCAACTCAGCATCGCCATTTGGACCTCAAGAGGAAAATCTTTCGTCCTGCGTAAGTAGCCGCCTTTCCCAGCAGTGCTGGGCCGACGAGGCGTGCACCTGAGTCCCTTGCTTGCGTGGAGTTCAGGTTCCCTTTCGGGTCTCGCCCCACCCCGCGGCCCAAGGACGAACATAGTGAACAAAACCTCCTGAAGGGTCATGAACGGGTCATGCTGTGGCCTTCCAGGAGGGCTAAAATATAACACCATAACCTCGACACCGAAATTCCTGTCGACGTGTACGGCAGTCCAAATAGGTCTACAGGTCTGGAGGGCTATTTTCTAACACTCTGGAAGGTCAGAGAGAAGGGTGTTCCTTCGCCACCTTCGGCCTCCTGGGGCCCTTACCTGGCCTCGGGGCCGTCAAAAGTCGGGCGGGTAGCAATCGGGGGGGGGGGGGGCGTAATGGAGGGCGACGAGCAGGGCTCAAAAAGTCCCCAGGGCCCCTTTTGAAGTCGGGCGGGTGGTGATAATGGGAGGGGTCTGAGAGTGCGGGGTGAAGAAAAAGGGCGATGCAGGGTCCTCCAGGGCCCCCTGTGGGCCCCTGCTGGCTCCCAAACAGGGGCCCCAAAAGGGCCGCGCTGGGGCCCCTCGCCTGCACCTCCCACTCAAGCCGACGCCGCGTGGCCGACGAGAAACGGGAAGACGTTCAGGGCAGCAAGGACCACGGTGCCTGTGAGGCTTGCCCTTCTTCGCACTTCCCCCCCATCTCCTGGCTCTTCGCGGGCGGGAGACCGGACGTATCCGCATCTGCCCCCTCGGGGTCCCGACGTGCAGGCCGCAACCTCGTGGATACAGCGCGGCTTGGCGCGGATGCCCCGCTCGGCGACCCTCGCCACTCGCCTGAAAACAGAACCACGCAGGAGGAAAGAGACCGGTCCCCGGGAAGGGGTCCAGACCTCTGGGGGCCAGCCCTCTGGGACTCGTCCGAGGGCCCAGGAACACCCCAAATCCCCCAACGAGAGGGGGCCTCGGAGCGCAGATCCGCCCAGACCTGGGTCGGGCAGGTCCCCCTGCAGGCGGAGATTGGGCGAAAGATCAAACATGATCAAACATACTTTTTGGTCAACGGCACGCGCGGTGCCGAGGCGACGGGCCCCTCTATATAGCAAGCAAAAGCTCCGACGGGGCCCGTGGGGCACACAGAGGAAGCGACACGAATCCCAAGATCCCCGACGCGATGTGACAAAAAACACGACGGGAAGATGTTCCCCATCTTCGGCCTCCCCTCCCTCCCCCCCCTCGGCCCCCCTCTCCCTCGACCCCCTCGCGTGGAGAGAATCACTACGGGACATGCTTCGCTATTGTCGGCCTTCTGGCGCGCTTACTGGTGCCTGGGACCGTCAAGAAACGACCGAGGATGAAAAGCTTGTCCCGGGGAAGAGGTCCAGACCTCTGGGGGTCGACGTTGTGGTCAAAAACCACGACCTCGGCGGTCTGGGTCTCAGGATTCCCGACTTTTGTTTCCACATATTTATGAACTTCCTCTTCCCCACCACTTCCCATCGTTTCCGATATGTTTCTGAGGTTCGACGTTTGTTGTGTATCTGTGTTGGTGTCCCTCCCTGGGAGGCTACGGAATGCGCAAGTGTCGCCAGTGGCGTAGGCTCGTGGGAGGCACGGAGGTGTTCTTTTGTATGGAGTGCGAGGCACGGCGCAAGCAGCGCAAATCCTGCAAATCCGGCGAGGTGTTCTTTCGTACGGAACGTTCAAGCCAATTTCCGCTTCGCGTGGAGAAGAGGCTGGGGACGTCTCGGGTGATCTTCCCTTCCCCCTCAGGGCAAGCAAACTGGCCAGAGTCTATAGAGCAACAACGGCCTCGTCCCCTCCCCGAATGCGGCGCCAGAAATTCTGGTATTCCGTATTCCCCACTCCCAGAATTTCCCGTGCTTTCCTGGGGATCGACGTTTAGTTGTGCCCGTGTGCTATTGTTCCCTCTCACCTCCCCTCCACAGAATGTGCATGTGCATGCAGATGTATATTAGTATATATGTTTGGATGCAGATGTAGATGTATATACATGCGCACGTATATGTATATCTAAGTTTTGTATCTATATACATATGTAGGTTTTATGGGTATAGGTATTCCATATAAATGTATATGTACCTATCTGTTACACAATAACGGCCTCCCCCTCCCCGAACATCGGCGCCCGGCCTCGACGCCTCGCAGCCGATGGTGCCGGCGGCGAAGTTCTTGAACTTCTGAAGGGAGAGCTTCTCGCCCCGCCGCACGGGGCACGCGCCCGGGAGGGCTGCGGAGGGGGCGCCTCCGGGCCGCCATCTACAGGGGCGGTGCGCGGTGTCGCGCCGCTTCTCTCGCCAGAGGGGGGGGGGGGGGGCAGCGGATCGAGGGAAGAGGAGGAGGAGGACGACGAGGAGGAGGACGAGGAGGAGGACGGGGAGGAGGAGGAGGACGAGGAGGAGGGGGAGGACCAGGAGGAGGGAACGACGAGGAAGAGGAGTAGGAGGACGAGGTGGACGAGGACGAGGAGGACGAGAACGAGGAGGACGAGGAGGAGGGGCAGACGAGGAGGACGAGGAGGAGCAGGAGGACGAGGAAGAGGAGGAGGACGGGGAGGAGGACGAGAACGAGAAGGACGAGGAGGAGGACGAGGAGGACGAGGAGGAGTACGAGGACGAGGACGAGGGAGGGCGAGGGATTGGCTGAGCGGAAGGGCGGCCCTGGGCAAGAGTGACCTCTGGTGCGCGACTTGCCGGGGGACGCGGGGTGGCCAGACCTGGGCGCGCAAGCCGCTGCTGCCGCTTCGCGATCAGCGGACGGGGGGTCCCAATGGGCCCGCTCCAGCGGTCACTTCGGCGAAAGGTAGCTCTTACTAGGGGGGAAACAAACCTACCTCGCTTTTGACCACCCTCGCTTCCAAGAGATACCAAGCGATGCCAAACTGCGACCTGTACTGGTCAGGCCGCTTGACCAGGAGGCGCGTGGTATGACTTAGTTTTGCCTGGAAGCGAAAGCGGGGTAGGTAATTCACGCTCTGACTTACATGTAATCGAGGGGGAGGATGGAGCGCAGAAGGGCATACGGCAGGTTCGTGCGGCGTCGGCGCGCGCAACGGTTTTCGACACCGAGTCGATCGTTCGGACTGGGATCGATCGCGGCCCCGATCGTTCAATGCTGAATTCGGTCGGTTGGCGTCACCGCGTCCCTCGTCGCGTCCACGTCGCAGAATCCGGGCTGGTGCGCCTTCGTCGGCGTCGCTGGCGCGCCAAAACGCAGCATGGGCCTGCCGTGCCAATGCCAAATACCCCGCCCTGCCCGGCCACGCCCGCGCGGCTCCGCTGGCTGCCCGGCCGCGCCGGAGTGGCAGCGCCGAGCCCGTCAGCGCTGGCGCCATGCTGGCGGCATTCTTCTCGGGGCGCTCGTGGTGGCCGCACTCCCTCGCACAAGGTCCCGGATGCGTTTGTTGCCTTCGCTGCGGAGGCAGCGACGGGACCGCGGCGGCCATGCTGGGAGGCGCGTGTCCAGGCTGGCAGGACCGGCTGCCAGCGCGGGGGCAGGCGCTGTTGCTCCTCGGCAACCTGTGCTGCGTTGGGGGCAACGCAGCTGAATTCGCTGCCTTAGCTGCGCGCCGCATCGCGCAGCTGCCCAAGGTGCCCGATTAGGTCGGCACCGTACTGGGGCGCCGGCGGCCGCGCCGTTTCGCCCTCTGTCCGCGAGTCAAAAAAAAAGCCAATGCCACGTGCGGATGTTGGAGGCGCACGTCCGGCACGAGCGTGCGGTACACGGGTCGTGCAGAGTGTACAACATAGGGGCTCGACCACGAAAAACCTTCCACAAGAGGCCCGTCCCGGGAACCCCGGGGCGTCCACTGTTTTTTGGCGTGGGGACGTCACGCTTCCAATTGCAAAGCCACCGAAACCCAGGAAGCCCAGGGCACCCTTCGGGTCGGGCGAAAGGGGGGAATAGCAAAGGGGGGTTTTTTGATAATCAGCTCACGTAGCTGATTTTCCTGGCGCCTCCCAGCGCCGGAGGCGGCTATGTATCGAGGAATGGGCCCCTCGGTGAGGCCCAAACCAGCTGCATGCAGCAGATTTCGTACCCCCCCCTTTCCCAAACCCCCCCCTTTCGTCCGGCCCGAATCCTGGAGGCAAGCAGGATGTTTCTTGGCATGGTTCCCCACTGTACGGTTGCCCGTGCAGTATGGCCGGAGAGCGCTCGCCAAGGAGCGCTCATGGCATAGGAGATGTCCGAGCGTGCGCGTCGCCCTGTCAGGGCCGACACATGCAGTATTAGTATGCTTCGGGAGGAGGAGGAGGAGGAGGAGGAGGAGGAGGAGGAGGAGGAGGAGGAGGAGGGGGAGGAGGAGGAGGGGGAGGAGGAGGAGGAGGAGGAGGAGGAGGAGGAGGGGGGGGAGAGGAGGAGGAGAAGGAGGAGGAGGAGGCGGAGAAGGAGGAGGAGGTGCTGAAAGAAAGGGGGGAAATTAGAGGCGCTCTCCCTGGGGACCTTCCTGGAGTCAGTCGCCCCGCTCACGTGCGTCGATGCTGCAGCCGACGTCCGTCCGCTTGAGCCGAGCTCGAATCGAGCTTGAGTCGAACTTGGGTCGAGCTCGAGTCGAGCTCGAGTCGAGCTAGAGTCGAGCTGCACTCGAACTGACATTCGAAGAGATTCGCTAATTACGTGGGCCCCGAGTCGAACTTGGGTCGAGCTGGAGTCGAGCTGCACTCGAACTGACATTCGAAGAGATCCGCCAATTACATGGGCCCCAAGAAGGCCCCCCAAGCGCAAATCTGAGGAAGGGGGGGCGAGGGGGAAAGCGAGAGGAGGCGACCGAGGAGGAGGAGGACGGAGGAAGCGGCCCACGCTGAGGCCCCTCCCCCTGCCCGGTAGGGAAGAGGAAGGGGGTAAGGGAGGGAGAGGGAGAGGGAGAGGGAGGGAGGGGCGGGGCAGGAGGGAGACAGAGGGAGGGAGGGAGGGAGAGGGAGGGGGAGGAAGAGGGGGAGGGAGGGAGGGGGAGGGAGAGAGTGAGGGAGGAAGGGGAGAGGGATCAGGCGGATGGGGGAGAGGGAGAGAGCGAGGGGGCGAGGTGGCCCTCCTGAGCGGTCTTGAGGTCGTGTCTTGGGAGCTGGCCTGTTGGGTTGAGCTCGCCGACGACCGACAGAGCGAGCATGCGAAAATCATACATACACATGGAGGGTCTCCATGGACTGTGCCTCTGTGGACACTCTCACGGGCCCTCTCCCGGCAGCGTGGGCCCGTCAGGGCACCGGAGCCCCCTTCCAGCTGTAGCTCTTCAGACAAATTGAAACCGAGGCAATGATAGCGGGTATCGGGGCCCTTTACTCCTCTGATCTTCCTCCTCCTCCTCCTCCTCCTCCTCCTTCTTATACTCCTCCTCCACCTCCACCTCTCATAAAAATCCCCTGGCGAAGGACCCGACAATATGCAGTTGCGAATGCCGCGCTGTGGGTACCGGTTTCGGTGGAGCTCTCCATGGGGGCACGATCCCCGTGAGGGGTGTGCCAAATGGGCGCGCTACTGCCATGCAAACGCAGCCACTGGGCCTTCGGTGGAGCTACATATCGGACCACGACCCTCGAGAAGGGTGTGCCAGAACGAGTGCGGTGCCACCATGCGAACGCAGCCACTGGGGCCTTCGGTGGAGCTCCCTGTGGGGCCACAATCCTTGTTAGGCGTGTGCCGGAATGGGCACGGTTCCGCCATGCGAAATTCGTCACTGGGGAATTCGGTGGACCTACCCGTCGGGCCACGATCCTCGTGAAGTGTGTGCGGGAAAGAGTGCGGTGCCGCCATGCGAACGCAGCCACTTGAGCCGTCAGTGGGGCTCTCCCTATGGGCGCAGGATCCTCGTGAGGGGTTTGTCGAAATTGGCAAGGCGAGGTGCCGCCATGGAACCGCAGCCACTGGGGCCTTCGGTGGATCTCCCTATGGGGCCACGATCCTTGTGCGGGGTTTGCCGGAACGAGTGCGGTGCTGCCATGCAAACGCAGCCACTTGGGCCTTCGGTGGAGCTCCCTGTGGGGTCACAATCCTCGCGAGTTGTGTGCCGAAGTGGGTGCGGTTCTGCCATGCGAACGCAGCCACTGGGGCCTTCGGTGGAGCTCCTTAGGGAAACACGAAGCGTGTGAGTGGTGTACCGACATGGGCACGCGGAAAGCAGAGGCAAGGGCTGGATTGGCATGGGATGAGGCAGGAAAGGGGGAGGCGGAGGAGTGAGGAACGCCGGGCGCTGTCTTTTCAGAACGAGGACCCAATACCCAAGACGGTCGGGGAGATCTCCTCCCTGCCCCATCTCCAAGACGTGGTGGTAGGGCGGGCCAGGCGTTGCGGCTGAGACTTTCGCACCATTTCTGATCATGAAACACAGTGTTTGCATCGGTTTCAACGATGGTGGGCGGCCCCTTTTTTCAAAATGTGGCTATCGCCTCAGCGCCGCGCACAATCGCCTTAGAAGTGTGCAGCAATTTCAAGGATTGAAAGCGTTTGTTGTGTTTGTCTTCAGAGTGTGGCTACCGCCTTCGCGACGTGAGCATCCATCTTCAATATTTCAGGCAGTTTCAAGGATTGAGGGAGCGTGATCCACCGCCGCTTTACTCTGGAAAATTGCCGCACTTTTCCTCCGGAACCCGGGGTTCCCCCCCCCCCCCTCCGAAAATCCCCCCCCCCCCCCTGCTGGAACCACTCCCCCCCCCCCCCTTCCCCAGGCAAAACCCCCCCCTCCCCTACCCCCCCCCCCCTCGAGCTCGAAAACCGGAGGGGGGGGTCACTACCAGTTCGAACCACTGAGCTGTCCCACTGTTCCCACCACTGTCCCCACTGTCCCTACCACTGTCCCCACTGTACCTCTGTCCCATTGTCCCACCGCCGTCCTCGCCACCGCCTTCACCACTGTCCCCACCACCACTGTACCCTCCACTGTCCTACTGTTTCCACCACATTCCCACTGTCCCCACACCACTGTCCCCACCACCACCGTCCCCACCACTGTCCCACTGTCCCCACTGTTCCCACCATTGTCCTCACCATTGTCCCCACCACTACCGTCCCCACCACTGTCCCACTGTCCCCACCACTGTCCCGCTGTCCCCTCACCACTGTCCCCACCACCACCGTCCCCACCACTGTCCGCACCCCCCCTCGGTTTTCGAGGGGGGGTGGGGTTCGAACCCGTAGTGACCCCCCCCCGGTTTTCGAGCTCGAGGGGGGGGGGGGGGTCGAACTGGTAGTGACCCCCACCCCTTTTCATGATGGGGGGGGATGGGTTCGAACCGGTAGTGACCCCCCCCGGTTTTCCGCTAGCAGCGGTAGAACACGCTCTTTCCAAGGATTGAAGGCGAATGCAGTCCAAAAGGTGGCTACTGCCTTAACACCGCGTGCATTCGTCTTCTAAGTTTGAAATAATTTGATGGATGTATGACGGTTCCTTTTCAACATGTGGCTCTCGCCTGAGCGCTGCGCACCTTCGTCGTCTTCAAAGTACGCAGCAGCTTCGAACATGGGGTCGGTTCCCTTTGATATTGCGCCTCTCGCTTTAGCGCCGCGCACGCTTGTCTTCAACGAACGCATCACTTTCAACGATTCGTAAATTGCAATCCCAAGAGCCGTGTACGCAACCGTCACGCTGATTCGCTGTGTTGACATCCTGGGAATTGCGTTATGGCACGATTCTGAAGCCTCAGGAAGCAACACTGAGGTTTCAACGGAGGAAAGATGATCGATCAATTGCCTTGACATTTGCCACTTCCACAACAAAGATGCATGTGGGGCATACGAAGAAGGACCTTGAAGGGAGGGTTGATTGCAACATCGTTGATACATCTTGGGTTTGCACTGGTCCTCCTCCTCCTCTTCTCATCCTCTGTCATTCTCTCCTCCTCACCTCCGTCCTCCTCTCATCATTCCTTTCCTCCTCCTCCTCCCCCTTCAGTTTGCTCCAGTTTGCTCCATGGTCCATGCGTCCACGACGTGACCGAAGCACAACAAAGGAGAGAGAGAGAGAGAGAAGAAAGAGAGACACAAAACCCCTCCTCCTCCTCCTCCTCCTGCTCCTCCTCCTCCCCCTCCTCCTCGTCCTCCTCCCCTCTCCCCGTCCCTCCCCGCCCCTCCTCCCCTGGCTTCTCCGGGCCCTGGGCTCGCGGGGCAGCAGGAAATCCTCGCAAGAACGATTAACGGCTATGGAACTATGGAAAGATCAAGGGGCCGCTAAGCCAGATGAAGCTGGATGACGTCCAGGGCTAAGCTGGACTTAACGGGACTAGGCCAGATTCAGAAGGACTACCCTGAGATCCTGGGGTTGCATTGTTTCATGACTGGCGTTTTCGCCCCGTTTCGGGCCACGGGATCCTCACAGATCGATCCAGCTCGAAAAATGATGCAGAAAGATGTGGTCCGGAGCTCCAATCGTGATTTCTTGCGATCTTGATTTTCTTTCGCAACGTCAGATCTTAGGGTAGCGGGACTAGGCTGGATATAGAAAGACTATGCCAGATTAGCCTGGTTGTCGACCAAAGACCAAAGATATCCCGGCGCCGATGCTGAATTTCTCAGGGTTGCCACCCTGAGGAATTGCATCCTCAGGGTGGCAACCCAACTGCGGGATATCTCCGCGCCCTGGCCAGCGACTCGGCAGCACCGGCAAGCAGTCGACTTCACGCAAGAGTGACACAGGATAAGAGTTACCTTTGGTGCACGGCTTTTCGGTTGCCGCGCAGGGGCCAACACACAAGCGGTGCAAGACTGCAAGACGCTACTACCGCATCGCGTTCGGCGATCGGGGGACCCCGTCGGGCCCGCACCAAAGGTCACTCCGACGAAAGGCCACTCTTGCATGTAGCCTCAGGTCGGGCATGCCCTCTTACAGGGGGATTGGGGACGACAAAAAAAACTACCCCACAAATATTCAAAAATTGTCAAAAATCATAAAAAAGTCCCCGTATTGTTGTTCGACTGTCTTTGAATATTCTTCCTATAGACGGACGTGCCCGACTCAAACGTCGTCGAAGCTAGGCAAGCGCGTTCCACTACTCGCAAAGTAGCTACTCACAAATGGCCTGGATTCGCCACGAGGGGTGTACGACACTTTACGTAAAGGAGGACATGTTCTTTTTCTGACGTTTGAAGTCGGCACTTTGCGAGTAGCGGAGCGCGCTCGGTGAGCAGGCCCCCGCGGGCACCACCGCCCCTCGCGGCCGAGAGGCGCCTCCGCACCCTCCCGGCATCCGCCGTGGAACACGTCCAGGAGCGGGTCGCTGCCCTCCACGGCCTGCGGGCGCGGGGAGAACGGGGCCTCTGGCCAGGGGAACGAAGAGTGACACCAACATAACCATTGAGGGAAGGGGAGGGGGAGGAGGAGGAGGAGTAGGAGGAGGAGGGGGACGAGGAGGAGGAGGAGGAGGAGGAGGAGGGGGAGGAGGAGAATGAGGAGGAAGAAGAGGAAGAGGAGGGAGGAGAAGGAGGAGGAGGAGGAGGAGGAGGAAACGGCGGAGACGATCGAGCGAGGGCGGCGCGGAGTTCTCGGATCCGCGCCTCTGGCACTGCCCCCGGCGCGCTCCGCGCGCCAGGGAGAGGGGTCCAGCGCGGATCCGAGAAATCCGCGCGGACCTCCGAACTTTTCTGTTTATGCCACCCTTCGTTCCCCTGCTGGTGCAGCCGGGCCCTGGACTCCGAGAGCGTTCCTCGGGACGGGGTTTTCGTCCCGAGTCGCCCAGTAAACGGGGGACACGAGAGGGTACGCTAGCAAAGGGTAGAGGGTACAGTAGGAGCTCGACCACAACAAACCATCCGCAAGAAACCCAACCCTGAGACCCCAGGACGTCCATTGATCTTTGGTGTGGGAACGCATCGCTCTCCAGAACAAAACTATCCAAGCCCAGGAAACCCAGTGCACCCAGGAAGCAAGCAGGGTGTTTCTTGGCATGGGCTTCCGCTGTAGAGAATCAGCTCATGTAGCTGGCTTTCCCGGCGCCAGGAGACCCCGGGAGGTGCCCGCGTATCAAGGAATGGGCCCCGGCGGCGGGGCCGAAACCAGCTGCATGCAGCAGATGTCGTACTCTCCCCCTTTCCCTATCCTATCCTTTCGTGCGGCCCGATGCCAGCATGAGGAAGATTCCGGGGCGCGCAAACATGGATTAGCGATTCATGGACTTGGCGGCGCGCGGTCGCCAAATCCATGGATCGGGGACCCCTCCACAGAATGCGGCCAGTGCCGCCCCGCTCGGCGGCGGAAGTCCGCGATTCCCCAAGGAAACGGGACCCGTCGCTAATCCACGCCCCCTTGATCCACGTTTGCGATGCCTTGAGAAACCAGCTGCATGCAGCAGATTTCGTACTCTCCCCCTTTCCCTATCCTACCCGTTCGCGCGGCCCGTGCTAGCATAAGGAAGATTCGGGGGCGCGCAAACATGGATTAGCGATTCATGGACTTGGCGGCGCGCGGTCGCCAAATCCATGGATCGGGGACCCCTCCACAGAATGCGGCCAGTGCCGCCTCGCTCGGCAGCGGAAGTCCGCGATTCCCCATGGAAGCGGGACCCGTCGCTGATCCACGCCCACTTGATCCATGTTTCCGATCCCTTGAGAAACCAGCTGCATGCAGCAGATTTCCTATTCTCCCCCGTTCCCTATCCTACCCTTTCGTGCGGCCCGATGCTAGCATGATCGGGGGCGGCCGAGAGGGGTTCGCACAAGAGGGGGGGGGAGCGCAAATCATGGCCGGCGGCATGTGCGCGGCCTAGGGGATGGGCCAGGGACGTAATGAAATCAGAAGAGGCACCATGACATCTGAGGAAATGTCATGGCCTACGCCATGACATCCCCCCCCCCTAGTCATTACCCCCCTCTTTGCCGCCCCCGACATGAGGAAGATGGGGCCCTTGGCGCTGACGGGACCTGGACCCCCCAGGGACTCCCACAGGATAGAAGGACAGCCTGCGCGCTGCCACAAAAGGAGCGCCAAAGATAAGGAGCGAAGGATCTCTCCTATGACCACGGCGAGCCTCGGCCACGAGGAGGAGGAGGAAGAGGAGAAGAAGGAGGAGGAGGCAGAGAAGGAGGAGAAGGAGGAGAATGCAGAGGAGGATGCAGAGGAGGAGGGGGAGGAGGGGGAGGAGGAGGAGGAGGAGGAGGAGGAGGAGGAGGAGGAGGAGGAGGAGGAGGAGGAGGCGGAGGAGGAGGAGGTGCCCCGGCTTCGATCGAAGGGACGGCCCGAAAACCCGAGCCCCTCCTGAGCCCAAAGTGAATATCGTTCAACCGATCCCCATCCCCAGCGGCGTGGCCTGGGCCCCACTGGCCGATTTACCTCCCTGGATGGGGATGTAGGCTGCTCCCTTCGGGTGTCGAGGGGCACATCTCCCCAACTGGGGGGGTGACTTGGTTGGGGTCTCGAAGGGGATAGGGATGGAGACGGGGATCGGTTAAACGATAACGGCAAAGAGGTCCTTATTCCAGCGCCTTGGTTGTAGGCTCTTCGTCCCGAGTCGCCCTGGCAGTAGCGACGGAAAGCCTCGGCTGCACTCAAGAATGGCCCGAGGCAAGAGTGACGACCTGTGGTGCGCGGCTCAACTGGCGGGTCGGGGTCAGCCAAACCCAAGCGCGCAAGCCGATGCTGTCGCACCGCGCTCGGCGCTCAGTGGGCCCGCACCGAATGCCACTCCGGCGAAGGGTTACTCTTACGTGTAGTCCGAAACCTCCACGTGACGCACAAGGCCATAGATAAGCAAAACGTAGGCCCGCCCAAATCACCGACATCGTATCAACCGCGACCTGGCCGCGACCCACCCGTGACCCACCCATACTGCCGACGTCCTCGCCGCCCTCTCACTCTTATCTGCAACTGCGGTGTGCTACGCATATTAGTTTGCTTCGCGGACCCCCCAAATACCCTTCCCAAGGACTGGTTTTGCACCCTGGGCCGTTTCTTGACGCGAGGGCCCAGCGAGAGACCCTGGAGGCCGAAAATCTACAAAACCCCCCCCGCCGAGATGTTTTCGCCATCGAAAGCGGTGATTGACGGCTTGGGTCCCAGCACCGTGTGGCGACAGCCCTGGCGGTGACCTCGAAATGCACAAAGATCTCACCGCAGGGTCCGTCGCCACACGGTTTTGGGACCTCAGAGGCTCCAATCGCCCGAGACGCCCTCGAAGAACGACCTACGCCCCAAAACCGTGCGGTGACCCCGAATCACCGCCAACTTACCACACGGTGTGGTCACCACCTCATGTGGGGGCCCCCGATGGAAGTGAGCACCAGCACCGACACCGGGGCGGGGGCCTCCATGGAGGGAAAACGATCCCGCTTTCTGGTGCTGGCGGCAATCTGCCAGCAATCTAGGAAGCCCGAATACTACTACCATCGCCCGTATTGGGATCATCTTCTTCTCTCGGCGGAGGCGCACCGCCGATATTTGTGATGGTGTCAACCTCTAGGCCTCCGATGTTAAATACCTTCTAGATGAGGTCCGAATAGATGGGGACGGAGGATCGCACCGCATCGCCGATGCATCGGCGATGCGGCTCGATGTGGAACCCGACCATTCTCCTCGCCAGCGTGAGCGATGCATGGCACACGTCGCCGATGCATCGACGGTGCATCGGCGACGCATCTCCGACGCATCGGCGACGCATCGGCGATGCGGCGGGATCCTTCGAGCCCATTTGCTCGGACCCCATCCCGGAGGCTCAGGGTTAAGTCGGGCCTGTCCCCCTAGAGGCGGTGTTTGAGCGAAAAATGAAAAAAAAATCAAAACATGTCACAAAGATGCTAAAACATAATCCAAAACAAATCGCTCCCAGACTCTTTTTTGACTACTTGTGAATATCCCTCCTGCAGAGGGAAGGGCCCGACTCCAGCCCAGGGAGGTGAGAGTCCATTTCTCCGCGTCGACCTCGTGCCAGACGCGCGTTGCATTGCATCTCGTGTCCGAGAAATGATTTGCCCTTGGGCCCTGTTTGCTGCGGCTGCTTCTGAACAGCCCAATGTCTGAGAGGAAAGGACAAGCACTCCCACCTTCATGTCGGGCGTGCCCCCCTTCAGGGGGATTTTCGACGAAAAAATTAAAAATACCCCAAGCATACCCCAAGCAGGTCAAACAATGCTCAATCCCCCATGTAGGGGGACAGGCCCCACTTCATCCTGCCTCTCCCACCACCGCGCCTCGTGCCAGAAGAAGATGGCGCGGCCCGCCACGGGGCGCACCGCCAGCGGGCGCACCTCGCCGCCGCCTGGCGCCGCGGCCGCGGCCGGCGCGGGCCCCGCCCGCGAGGCCTCGGCGGGGCAGAGCGCCGAGAGCTCGCGGTGCAGCGGGGTGCCCTCCTGCCAAAGGGAGAGGGCCCCCCACGCCGCGCCACCGCCGCGCCTGCCACGAGCGGCGAACGCCCGGAACCCCGCGGGCCAGGAGCAGCAGTCGGAAGCTGGGCGAGGGCCGGCAGATCCGTGGCCGCTAATGAAACCGGTCTTCCCAAAAGGAAGAAAAGCAATGGTGGATGAAGCTCCGCGCACTGCGTAATCAACGGGCTGCTTCCTGGAAGAGAAAGCAAGTTCCCGGAGCTCCGTTCTAGCAGCCATGGGTTCGCCAGCCTCCGCCTGGCTTCTGGAACATCAGGACGAAGGGTTGTTTGCCATTTTCGGCTTCCTGGGGCCCTTCCCGGGCTGCGGGTCCATGAAAAAACGACTCAGGCTGAGAAGCTGGTCCCCAAGAGTGGGTCGAGACCCCTGGGGGTCGACGCCATCAGAAAACTCATGACGTCGGGGGTCTGGGAACAGATCCGTATCCGCGACTTCGCGGTCTCTGAGGCCGGGCGCGATCCCGCGGATGCGCGGCCGCACGGATGCGTCCCGCGCGGGGCCTCCGCGAAGAAACGCCCTGGTTTCCACGGGGTCGCGGCCAAGGGCTCGGGCCCGCGAAGCCGCGGCTACGGATCTGTGTTCCGCCTATGAGCTTGGCCGGGGCCAGCCCTGAGAAATCTGGGCGTTGCAACTCTTTCGCGCTGGGCGCTTTTGCCCGGCTTGGGGCCCTGGGACCATCACTGATCGCTCCAGGCGTTACGGTCATTTCGCGCGGGGCGGGTTTGCCCTACTTCGGGCCCCGAGACCATCACAATCCGGCCCGGCTAAGGCCATGCGGCAGCAAATGGAGTCTACGGGTCTGGTCATGATCTCATGTTTTTGGTTTCCGCAACGACGGATATCCCAGATCCTGGGCCCAGAGTGGTGGTTGCGCCCTCTGTTCGAGGCCAGGAAGGATCCATCCACCATCTGGAACCCAGGGTGGTTTGCTCGGCGTGGTGGTCGTGTATACGTGCCCTGTGCGGGTCCTCCACCTGCACCGAAGGCCAACCTTTGCGCTGGCAGAAGACCGCAACAACGACATCAACCTAAGCTTTCGGGAGCCCGCTGGACGGCATGCAGCATTTAGTACGGACTTTCACTTTGGCGACTCAATCGGCACATTCCGCAAACAGTGCTTGCACTTCGGTGGGGGCTGCTCACTGCTTTAAAAGATTGGGGTAGTCAGCCGTTTTGGCCGCTATGTTACCGCCGTCGCCGCCCCGTCGCCGCCTCGTCGCCGCCTGTCGTCAGGGCATGTCTGCCGCTCAGGCGGCTATTTAGAAGCCGTCGCCACCCCGTCGCCGCCCATCGTCAGGGCCTGTTTGCCGCTCAGGCGGCTATGGTGACACCGTCACAGCCCCGTCGCCGCCTCGTCGCCGCCCGTCGTCAAATCCCTGTCTGCCGATCTGGCGGCTCTGTTGCCGCCGTCGCCGCCCCGTCGCCGCCCCGTCACCGCCCGTCATGTGGGCCGGTGTGGCGATCCAACGTCTATGATGTCGCCGTCGCCGACCCGTCGCCGCCATCGCCGCCGCTGGACTGCACTATGCACACCGCGCAACATAAAATGCACAATCTGGATTGGGACACGAATATATCCCCACACATATTCCACCACGCAAAATGCAAATCATGGGTTGCACCACGTATTTTGCGCAAAATGTATGGCATCACACAATCTTTCTTTCCACTCGAATGTTCGGATATCCCTCCCGGGAACTAAGGGACCCTATTTTCCTCGTCGTGCAATTTGCGTTCGACTGCGCACGCCTTCCGCACCGCACGTCGTCATCATTCGGGCACCCTTGCGTGCGCGCTGGGAGAAGCACTATCCGGACAAACAAATATTATGCGGGCCGCTCTCGCGAGTCGGCCGCGCGCGCATGTCGAACTCCCTCCAAACTCTTTATCACCGACGCGGGGGCGCCGTCATCATGGTCGGCGTGATCAGAATCGGCGTTTTCACTCGCGTGGCCGCCGTCGCTGTCATCATCGTCGCCAACATAGCTGCCACCATCATCGCACATACCCTTGTCGACGTTGCCATGATACCGCGCCCGCCCGAGCCGCAAACTCGCACGGAGGTGCCCACTGGGAAGTGCCCAGCGGTCAGCGCCACAACGGCCGCGTCGGCAGCGCCAAACTATCTGGCCGCTGAGCGCGCGGGCGCTCTTGGGCCAGAGCGGCAGCAGAGATGCACCCGCCAACTCCAGGAACTCACCGCAATCGCTGCCGCATGGCTTTGGAGACCAAATTGCAGGTGGGCGGGTGGGAAGATTGCGCGATCAGTCGAATGAGCACTTCACTGCATACATAAACGAGTGGCACCACATAGAATACCGCACACGAGCTGTACTACAAAGTGTGCGCTATGTAAATTGCCAAGCGTACACTGCGCCAGATGGACTGCTCAACAGGGATTGCACAACGCAAATTCCACCGAGTATATTGCACCACGTAGACTGCTTGCACCAGATTGCAACACGCACGATGCAACACATAGATCGCACCTAGCACCTCATTGGCTGCGCGGCATGGGTTGCACCATATAGGTTGGACCACATGTATTCCCAAATTAACTGCAAAAGCAAGGATTCCCCAAGAGACTGGCAAAACATGGGTTCAATCACATAGGTTCCACAACAGAGCTTGCGCTAAACGCATTACACCGCAGGCACCGCTCAAGAACGACCCAAGTTGCACCACGCCACGTAGTCTGTCGCACATAACCTGCACATCGTATATTGCACTACGTAGGTTGCCAGACGCACAGGGCGTGATTGCCTCACTTAGTAGCACATTTCCACGAAAAACGTGGCGGACACCAGAAACAACAGGAACACCCATGCCGTATTCTACCCGACCATCCTTCCGCCAAGCGCAAGCGATCCTCCGCCGCGCGATGCTGAATTACTGCGTCATCTTTGAATTTCCCCGCACGCCGGGAAACATAACTTGCGGCTATGTGGTTTCAGACGCAGCGAGCATCAAACTGAACCGCTTCATTCTTGAAATCCGGGGCTTGATTGCGCGCGACGGATTGGGGCGCGACGCGCTTCTACACGTTAAAACGATAGTCGGGGGCCTGATGGGGGCCAACTACACATGAAATCCAGGGCGACTGAGGACGTCGACGCCGCCGAGAAACGACGCGGGGACGAATGCCACAAAACGGAAATAACAGACATGGTACCACTGAAAACGCTTTCGCAATCATAAACCCGATTCGGACGTTCAGCCCGAAGATTGCCAATTCGGGCGCGTCCGCGCTCGCATTGCCGATTCGGCCACTTTCCAACTCAAGTGGCCGACTCGGGCGCTTCCATGCTCGGATAGCCGACGCGGCCGCGCTCAGGTTCACATTGCCGATCAAGGCGGCCCCGCGCGCGCCCGCAGTCAGATCGCCGAATCGGGCGCCCCCGTGCTTGAGCGGCAGATTTGGGCGCGTCCGCGCCCCGCGCGCCGATTCGGGCGCCTGCGCGAGTGGGCCGTCGCCTCCGGCTCTCCCGCGCCTGGATTGCCGCGGAAAGGGGGGGGGGGGGGGCGAGGGCCCGGGCGGAGAAGGAGGGCGGGCGGGCAGGGGGCGGCGGGGGGCGGGGCGCGGCGGCGGGAGACGCGCGCCCGGCCGCCCCAGACAACGCCCCTGCGGTCTGCGCCGCCGCTCCGGCGTGCCGGGGCGGGCGCCGGCCCGCCTTCGGCGCGCGGGCGGGGGCGGCGAGGGGGGGGGGGAAGGGGGTGCGCGGGCGAGGGGGGCGGGGGGGGGCGCAGCGGGGAATTAAGACGAGGCGGAGGCGGGGGGCGGGAGGAGGAGGGGCTGGACAAGTAGCAACAGAACGGGAAGAAAAAGAAAAAAGACGAGGAAAAGGAAGAAGGGGGAGGGGGGAGGAGGAGGAGGAGGAGGAGGAGGAGGAGGGGGAGGGGGGCCTGCGTCGACGACGGCCTCCAGAACCAGCGCCGAGACAGGCCGCGCCAGCGTCGGGGCCTGCTGCGCCGGCGCGAGGGCCCGACGCGCCAGCGCTGCGCCTGCTCCGCCGCCCGCCCGCTGCAGCGGCGCAGCGCCTGATCCGCCGCCGGCCCCCGAGGCCGCGGCGACGCGGCGCGTGAGGCGCGCGGGCGCGACCCGCGCGCGCCGCGGCCCAGGCGCGCCTGGGCGCACGAAAAAGAGCATGAATATAGGAGATGGCGGCTTACGTCAGGGAGAAGACGAACGGGGGGGGGAAGATGGCGAGGCCTCGGCGTGACTTTGGCGACGGCCAGTGGGCAGTCGCAAGAGCGCACTGGAAGCCCACGTAACGACGAACAGAAAGAAAGAACAGCACGGGAACGCCGCGCGGGGAGCGATCGGAAACAATCGGAACAACCACGGGGCGCCACTGGCGGGCGGAGAAGGAGGCGGGCGCGACAACTTCCGACGCCTTTCCGCAAGGGAAGCTGGCGGAAACGATAAGGAAACCCAAAGGAAACAAATGGATATGCTGAGGCGGGACAGGCGGCTTCCACCGCCCTCCCGCGGGCGCTTTGCGCGCCCCTTCAGCGGGGCCTATGCCGACGGGCGGGCGTCGCCACTCGCCGCAGTGAAACGCCTTCGGCCGAACGACGCGAAATGCCCAGGTCTGCCCCGCGGGGAACTATCAGCAATGCCGAGAGTCCTGCCGCCCGCGCCCGTTTCAATCAGCGCGAGTTCTGCCGAGCACGGGCCGCGCGAGCGCCGCCGCGCTCGCGAGCTGCTGGGAGGGGGGTCGACGCTCGAGTGAGAGGAATGGGAAGTCGACGAGGGGCGCCCCTCGGGCCGCGGCCTGCTGCGCATCTCTGCGGCGATGTGGAACTGATTGGTCCGCCGCAGCTCCGGCCGCCTCTGCCCGGCCGCGCGGCGGCGAGCCGGCTGCTCCGCGGGGGGCGGGGCAAACCCGGCGGCGCGCATCGCCTGCAGAGCAAGCCGCCGCCGCGCCGCGCCCCCCCGCCGGCCGAGGGCAGGCGCTCGCCGGCCCCAGATGGGGTCGGCGAAATGTCCGCGCCTCCACGACGGGCTCTCCGGAAGGATCTCCGCCCGCGCCCGTTCGCGGCAAAGCTGGCGGATCGGCTGGGCGCGGCGGGAGATTCGGACGCGCCGCGTCCTTCCATCCGGGCCCGGGCAACGCGATGCCTGGGGGCGCGCGTCGAGCAGCCTGCGAGTCTCCGCGCCGCAGCAATGCGGAGGCGTTCGGAGACAAGAAATACTCGGCATGCCCTCTGCGTCTGCTCCGGGGGCCGCCGCGCGGTCGAGATGCGATTCTTCGCGCGGACACTCGCGAAGGTTCTCTGAAGTCTTCGAGAAAGCCCGGGGCTGCGCGCAACGCCCGCGGGCCCGCCCGGCCACGTGCGGGGTCCGCCGGCCACCCTCCTGCACTTCTCCGCCGAAAAACACGCCCTCCCATCTGCCGCGCGGGCTCCCGCCCGCCACCGTCTGCAGGTAGCCCGCGTGCTCGTGCGCTCCGAGACAGGGGCCGCAGTCGGACTGGAAATTGACTTCCGCCGCAGCGCCCGAGTCCACCTCGCCGCGCATTTCGCTCAACATCGCCCTGGCCGGCTGCTCCACGATGACCGCGACGCACAATGAATACTTGGCAACGTAATGCGTCTGGACCAACGCCCCAGAACAACTGGCCCCCATGCGAGCGATGTCACGGGATTGGTCTGCTGCCTGGATGTGGGCCAGAGGAGGTGCGATGCTCTTCTAGTAGCAGCACAAGGGCACTTCGTTGTTCGTCAAGGCCGCGTGCAGTGTCTGCGCGGAGATGTTGATCCAATGCTTGGACCTCGTGGCAGCAAAACAAGGGTTTTCCCCATCGACGAATTAGCCGCTACCTACCCCCCAAACGTGTCATTTTTCGCATACGCAGGCCATCCACCGCTGTTTCCACGACCCTTCCGCAAGCGCCCTCGCGCGGCCCTTCCCGCGTGCTTCCCGCCGTGACGACGCGATCTGAGCTGAGCGAGGCTGATGCGCGGGCGTCACCGCGGGAATTGCGAGTTCCCGCAA